TGGGTCTTGAACTCAGGGCCTAGGCACTGTCCCTGAGCTTCTTTTTCTCAAGGCTAGCACTTGAGCCACAGCACCATTTCTGGCTCTTTCTGTTTATGTGGTCCAAAGAATCGAACCCAGGGCTTCACGCATGCTAGGCAAACACTCTACCACTAAGCCACATTCCCAGTCCTCTTTCTTCCTTTTTGACAAGATCTCACTAACCTGACATCACACTGAGAATCCTCTGCCCTTCCCTCCTGAGTATTGGTGCGACAGGTGGGTACCACAACTATGCCCAGCTCAGAAACCACACATTCTTTTACATATATGAATTCTTGATGAAGGAATACTTCCTATTCTTGAGGAAGAATGAATGTGGTTTCAGGCAGCCATGATTCTTCTAGTCGCAATGTGTAGATGTGGTCTCCTTTTATGAGAGCTCTTTCTCCATTTCAAATTTCAGTTTCTGTCCTGAGAATGGGATTTTGAGGCTCTACAATATGGGCTTTTTTTTTTTTTTGCTGATCCTGGGGCTTGAACTCAGGGTGCTGTCCTCTTTGTGCTCTTTGTACTCGAGGCTAGTGCTCTACCACTTGAGCCACACTGCCACTTCCAGCTTTTTTGAGTAGTTTATTGGAGATCTGCCTGGGATGGCTACAAACCAGTATCCTCACATCTCAGCCTCCTGAGTAGCTAGGATTTTGGGATGAGCCAAAGAACAGTCTGTTGTTGTTGTCAGTCCCTAACTCCAGGCTTGGGTGTTATCCCTGAGCTTTTCTGCTCAAGGCTAGCTCTCTACCACTTGAGCCACAGCTCCACTTGGACACTCTTAGATTCATTGGTTCCTTCCTTTCCCTCTTGATAGGCCTTCTACTTTCATGTCTTTTTACACCCCTCCCCAATTTGGATTATATATATGAGAAATCATGAGATGCTTGGCTTATTTTGGAAATCAAAGTTTTTTTTTTGTTTGACTGCTTTTGTTTGTTTGTGTTCACTGCTAGGGATCAAACTCAGGGCCTCATGCATGCTAGGTGACGCTCTACCACTGAGCTTCACCTGCAGTCCCACTGAGCACGTTGTTTGAAGAGATATTTGTACATTCACAATCTTGGCAGCATTATTCACAATAGCCAAAAGTGGTAGCAGCCAAAGGGTCCACTGACTACTGAAAGAATGCACAGCATTTAGCAAATACAAACAATGGAACTTTCAGCCTTTGATGGTAACAAAATTCTGACATGCTGCATGAATGAAACTTGAGGGCATCGAGTGAAAGAAGCCCCTTATGAAAAGAAAACAGCATGATTCTACTTACAAGAAGTATTTGGAGTGGGCCAACTCCTAGCAGCAGAAAATAGAACCCTGGTTTCCAGGACCTAGGAGTAGTGGCACAGAAAGCATAATGGTTCAGTTCTACCCAAGTTCTGGGGCTTAGTTACATAACAGTGTACTTATACTTAATGCCACTGCCACAGACACCTAAAAGTTTTAAAAATGGTCATTTTCATGTCATGTGTATTTTCATCTTGACACTTTGTTTTTAAAAATTGAGAACTACGGTTCTTGTGTAACATTGCAGGGGACCTAGAGCATGACTTACTATAAAATTCCAAATAAACAAAATTAGAGGAAATTTCAAAACCTAGCTCCATTTTATAAGGAAGTGAGAGTTATATCAATTAATGATTTCAAAGACCCCAGGGGTAAACATTGTAAGCCAGTTATTCTAGGTATGTCTGACATTTATATTGAGTCATTTACCTATTTATTAATCCACTTACTTAGCCAAACTTGTTGCCTGCTGGGTTCTGGCCATGGCACTGGATGCAGAAGAGAGTGAGGAAGCACCAGTGCCCTGCTCTTCCAGGTCTAGCACACGGGCTGGATCCATCAGTCTGAAGTATGAATTGGCCATGAATGAACACTATTTAGGATGTTTCAGGTATTTTCTTCCTTGTAACTTCATGGAGTCATCTATGAACACTGTGAAAACCATAACCATCATAGTCTCTTACTGCTTTTTATACTTCTGACCTCAGCCCTCTCTTTCCATCTCTATAGTTGTTTAGTTTCTTAAGATTAGGCCCATATTATCCTTTTTATCGTCTCAATGAAAAGCATATCCACTACAAAATGTCTCCACAGCTAAAAAAAATGCCTTGCACAAAGAAACTCAAAGAAGATTTTGTGAACCATCCTAAAATAACACTAGCTCTGTCTCCATGACCAAACCAGTGGCTCCTGATTCCCAACCATGAAAGAAGCTTCCAATACACTAAGGGCATAGCTATATCACAGAGTGGAGAGGATATAATTCTTTGTCAGGATTCTTGCAACTGCATTGTGTAGATGTGGCTTTGAGTGAGAGCTCTTTTTTCTTTGTATAGCATCACTTTTACAGAACTGTGGGAGAGATGCATGTGTGATTGTGGATTCTCATCAGCTAAGCATGAAGACCTTTTACTTCTGTGTCACCCTCAGATATTGCAGGTATTGATAGTAATGATCATGGATGATATAATACTGCCTGTTAATGGGTGCCTCTAAATCACATTTGCAGTCTGATCCAGCGATTTAATTCTAAGTCATGTTATTACATTCATATTTCATAGCCACTTCCTAATGAAGGCATTACTCGCTTATTTAACAGTTGAGGGGAAAATCTGACCCCATGAATTCAAAACACATCCCAAATGTTTCCCAGCCTCAAAGTGTCATGCTCTTTCTAAATATTGTAAAACTCAATTTTGAACATTTTAAGGTTTGTGAGACTTAAAATAACAAGAACAAAATGCTTCCAGTGATTTCCTCACCAAAGTCCAAAATGACAAAATAATACAATAAAAAACAAGCAAGCAAGCAACAACAAAATGAAATTAAAAAGAAAAAAAAACACACCTCAACAACCCTGCATGTGGTCTGTTTTGGTCAGCAGTTGCCCTTTCTCTAAGGTCCAGTAAGTCATTAGCCCTTCTGAACTTTTCTGGACTTTGAGTTTCAGTTGTACGTGAAGCTGTGGGGGTGGCACATGCCACAGGAGCAGCAGGAGGTGGCTCTGCTCAGTAGCAGGCACACTGCTGTACCGCTCACATGCCTGCCCAGACTGCTGTTCACGTGAAATGATGCCTGCCCAGCAGGCCCAGGAATAGTTAGCTCTGCCAACCGAAGTCAAGTCTTTCTGACTAATGCAGGTTTAATGTCCAAGGTTATACACTGCTGATAGGAAAAGACTTCATCTATGCTATCTGTGGTCATCAGACTGGAAGCAGGACTGTGTTAGACCACCAACAGACTGCATGTACCGGTGCTTTGACTACATAGAAACAAGTTACTTTTCCAGTGAACCAAAGTTCCTTTAGCTCTTAATATTACTGTCATTGTTATTAGCAAGAGTAATGAGAGCTAGCAACATTCGTGGCCAGGTGGAATGTCTTAGCTGTGGTTCTAACCATCCCAGCTTCATCCCACCCAGATCATCACTATCTTCACTCTGCATTATTTTATCGCCATCTACCATATCTTCCTCCATTTTCTTCTAACAAAAATCATCCCAGATGAAACCTTCTATCTTCTGATCAAGTCACCTTGTCGAATCAAGTAGTGGACGCTTGTCTGAGCACCAAGTAGAGATGAGAGAACCAAAGAATGTGCCTATCATGAGGGTTGCAAATGGAGTCTATGGACTGATGGTAACTATACCTGGGCTGGCCCTCTGACATGTCTGAGATAGACCTTGGGCAAAACTTCCCAGGCCTCATGAACGTCAGTTTTAAACATTAAGTGATTATATTTTCTTCAATAATGACATTCATTGTCTATCTTAGAACTTTTAGAAGCTATTTGAACTTTGCTTTTAATTTGGAAAACTAATTCACTGCATTTCCACTCTTCATTGAAGTTTAACTTTTCCAACAACAGATTATAAAGTTAGTATTCAGGCACTTTTTTTTTGGTCTTGCTGTCCATTTTGTGTAAAAGGAATATGCTCCAGAGTTTTTTTATTTTTCTGCAATTATGGTCATTCCATTTTTTTAGAGTTCTCCTTCTTACCTCATTGAATGTTTCAGGAAGCATTTAATCTTCTTAACTACATTCTCTTGAATTAGTTTAGAGTTTGATCAGAGATGAAAATATGCATAATGAAACCATACTTGGTGCTGTATCTGGGGGTCCTGGTGGCTTAATTACTTTGTGTTTAATTCTAGTTTTTAGCAACTTTGAAGACAAGAGTATAAAGGCTGAAGTAGAATGACAATAGTACAAGTGAAAATGGCTTCTGGCATAATATACATTGAAGACTGGGAGGAGAGGGAAAACCTGAATTTTCAAAATAAGATGCTTGGATTTGATTTTTTCCTTCCCACCCCAAAAAAGGTACAACTTTCTTTGCATTTCTTTCATCAAAAGAATGTTCCATTTTAAGTACATATTACAGAAAAATTGTTGGAACTGACTACTAATGAAGTTTTGAAAATGTATAATGAAAATATTGTGTTGCTTGCCTAATTTGGAAATGACTCTGGGATGGCTATTGTATACAGGCATTTTATAAACTCAGTGCTCCTAGGAAGAGCTTCTTGACAGAGGAGGAAATCAAGGTTCAGAGCAAAATAAACAAAATTAACTAACTAAATAAAGTTAAAATAAACACATGACCTTGACCAAGGTCATGTGTTTATTTATTATAAAAGCTAAGCTAACATTTTTCTCAATACCCCTTGATGGACATTGGAGTTCAGTTATTTGTTAACTGATTGATAGGCAGAATCTCACAATCCAGTGTCTAAATTTCCTCACTCATGAAAAATGTAAGGTCTGAATTAGGAACTGCATAATCTAAAAATGTCTTTTGTGGCTTTAACAGTATATCAAGCATAGTGCATGTGAGCATGGGTATTACGAACTGGTTGCTTATTAGCCAATCAGAGATATTGAATTAATACCTCCCTATTGGTTGGTCTAAGATAAAGAGGGAAGGGCAAAACTTAAAAAAAAAAAAAGACTGGGATGAGACCTCTATAAAAACCATGTGTTCCCAGAGACCCGTCCATGTAGCAGCTACCACTTCACTGACAGCTTCCAATACCTAAGAGGACTCTGCTCCCTCAGACTGTAAGTAAAGAAAGTTCCTTTGGAAGCCTAGGCAGCTCGAGTGAACGTGAGGGTAATGATAGGGCTAAGCCTGGACAGGGGAAGGTTTGTTTGCCTTTGTTTTTAGGGAAATCTTGGTGTCTAGTAAGCAGAACTACTTATTCACCCCTTTCTTGAAGGTGACAAAATACTCTGGCTTGATTGCCACTTCCTGTTTACCTGTGTGAAACAGTTCCAAGTCTTTATTCTGAGAAAAATAAGGTGTGTGTGTGTGTGTGTGTGTGTGTTCAATTTTATCTTGGTTTGGTTTTGTTTTAGTTTTTGAGACAGGGTCTCATTTTATATCCTAAGTTGGCCTTGAACTTGCTAAATAGACCAGGCTGGTCTCGAATTGGTCCTCCTTCCTCAGCATTTTGACTGGTAGGATTACATGTGCTGTCCAAATAACTCAATCATAACTTAGAAAAGACATTGGATATAATCTTCCTGGGCCTCAGTTTACTTATGCCTAAAGTAGTAGACTCTAAGGTCACTTATAACTCTATCTTTACTATTCATATACCATTGTCCTAATTTGTGTATGTAGATTACCTCTCATATATATATATATATCATATGTGTATATCTATCTGTCTATCTATCTATCTGTCTGTCTGTCTATCTATCTATCTATTTATCTATCTGTATCTATAGACAGATATGTGCTGAGTAAGAAATCTAGAATGAATGAAGTGAAATGTGAGGGTTTTCTCATCAAGACTGATTACGGATGGCTTATGTAGATGTTCAAACAGTATACAAGTATATCTTTTTTATTTCTTAGTTAAAAACAGGGTGATTGTATGCATTGCATAGGTCTCTAAAACTTTTTCCTTTTCTTCATTTAAAAATATAATGTGAACAACTTCTCAATACACTTTAAAAATAGTTGACTAGAGACTTTAGTGATTACAGATTTAGGGAAGTAAAACTCAGGGCCAATCAATTTCCTTTCCAGGTTGGCCTACTTTCTCCGAGTGGTGAACATTGGCCTGTAACCCTGTTTTATGATTAACAGAGAGACAGTATTTGTGCTGATGTGGTACAGACCTTTAGTCCCTCTGTAAAATTTAACTTACTGCAAACAGAATGCGTTTGACTTTTCGCTGTTATTCTGAGTCAGCATACCCAGATAAGGAAAACAGATCAGTAATAGAAACATTGAAATCTTTAGGTGTGTTTTTTTTTTAACAAATTGGAAAAAACAAAATTGGAAAAAAATTTGCATTTGGGGTCTTTGTTGCCATTGTTATTTTTATTAGCATATGTTAATTATACAAAGAGATTTATTATTATTTTTCCATGCACATATAATAACTACATTTTGTATTTCATAAGACATCTTCATGCCTCTCATGCAAATTCAACAAGTACATTTTGAGTTGCTCTGGTGTTCAGGACGTTCACAGGTTACATGTGAGTTACTTATTCATAAGACAACCAGAATAAATATTGTCACCATCTGGTTCATGGTACACTAAGATGCAGCAAAGTTACTTGACTTGCCCATGGTTACACTTATGGGAGGAGGAGCTGGTCTTTGAACACAGGTTGGTCTGACTTAATAACAATAAATCTCTATGTAGATGCAATAGATGTTACAAATTGTTCATGTCTGTGTTACAGTGACTCACAGCTTGAGGGGCTTTCTGGCCAATTTCTTTCACCAACCCTAAGCTTTCCCTTGAATAGAAAAGATCACCATCACCCCTTATCCCAACTGTGGACCTTATTACTATCAGTTCTTGAGCAGATAATTTATTTTATTATTATTTTTGGGGGGGGTCCGGTCGTGGGGCCTGAACTCTGAGCCTGGGCGCTGTCCCTCAGCTCTTCAGCTCAAGGCTAGGGCTCTACCACTTGAGCCACAGCACCACTTCTGGCTTTTTTCTTTTTGCTTATGTGGTGCTGAGGAATCGAACCCAGGGCCTCATGCATGAAGGGCAAGCACTCTACCACTGAGCCACCTTCCCAGCCCTTGGTCAGACAATTTAAACTCTCTTATTTTCTCTTCTAGTCGGTTAAATGAGAGGACAAAAGTATTTAACTATTTTCTAAGATTATTGTAAGGAATAAATTACATGGTGCATGTCAAATAGATAGAAACCTTGGAAATAGCTATTTTTTCCTTTGCTTAGTTGAGGAAACTTAAAAAAAATCATTTTGACCTTTGTGCAAATGGATGTACTGAGAGGGAAAATTTGTACTTTGGTTTGAAGTCAATACTCTCAAATTGGATTTTGTCTGGTTGAAAACAGGAGGTCCACACCCAGAGCTAAAGATCTCTGACTATAATAACAAAAGTTAATTTATAAACAGGGCAAATCCCATCTGCCAGTGTCTGGGATATAATAGAGCCTTGAAAGATCAGCTTCTTTAGAAACTGATTCTTACTAGTTTTTCTTTGTCCTCCTGTGAAAGCATTATGGTTCCATTCCTTTGGCTAAAACATAATCTCCTCTTGAAATAGAGAGTAGCAAGTACAAGGTCATCAGTTTTACCTTCTTGAGAATTATTCAGTAGACATTGACTCTTTCTATCAAGGGCCAGGTATTAGAAGCCTGCCCTGAAGATATGCAGAAAATGTGAACAAGTGGGTTTGTCATAAAAGACAGGTATCTCTGTCTCATGCCGGTTTGGAATCTTGAGTCGCAGTCTCTCCTTGCTAAAGCAGCAAAGCTTAAAGTCACTGCAACCGAGATTATCATACAGTGTTAGCAGCCTCTATAGCCAGAAGAACCTCCAGGCCCTGAAGCATTTAGTAAAAATTTTCCCTGGTCTTAATCAACAAATCTCACTCAGAGGGTTGAGTGAAGGAGACTTGCGCCTCAGTCTCTCTAGCCTAAAGTAAAAGGCGTTAACTTCAAGGCCATGTGTAGGTTTCTACACTCAAACTGTTTCCTGGAAAAATAATCTGCTGGAAGTGCAGGCTAGAACCAAGTGGGGGATAGTTAGGAGGCTAGAGGCCTCACTGTCCCGTTCTTTAGCCAGTCAGGGCATCCCTTGGCAACAAAAATCCACAGAACAGAGAGCTGGTCCATCATTGAAGTTGTCTTTCTTTGTTAGATTTTAGTGGTCTTAGTGGTCTTAGTGATCTCCAAAATGTCCTCGAAAGCATTCTGTTTAGAATCACCATGAACACTGGTCATCTGGCCTTTATCCATGGTGACTACTTGCAGCTACTCAAGTGAAGTAAAACAACAAACTTACTTGTTGATCCATCTATGAAAATGAGCCAGAAGCATCACGGTCACCAATTTTCCATGCATGACCCTCTTGCATTTTTTTCCAGACCTGTCACCATGGCTCACCGATTTCCAGCCCTCACCCCAGACCAGAAGAAGGAGCTCTCAGAAATTGCTCAGCGCATTGTTGCTAATGGAAAGGGCATCTTGGCCGCCGATGAATCTGTAGGTGAGTGTGGGAAACAGGTCATACAACAGCGTTCTCTCATTTTCTGATAAGCATTCTTCCTCTTGGAGGAAGTAAAGACTCATGTACACATGAGTGGAAACAAGACTCAATGAGTCCCTATGTCTAGCAGACAGAGCTAAGAAAAGCATAGGGGAAGAGACTCCAAGGAGAGAGAGGGCATTTGAATTCAGTCAGTAGCAAGGCCAGGAACTCAGGAACCTGGATGAAGTCAATGAGGATTTAGTTTAAAGACCAATCAAGGAGTTCAGGGAACATCTATATCCTGAAGTAGGGCAGAATATGACTGCGGGAATCCCATGCTGGCACAGGCAGTGCTGTGGCAAGTTTGCACAGGCCGTCCTGAAATGATACATACTAGAGTCAAGAGCCTGCATCCTTCCTTCCACTGCATGCTCATCCAGTGAAACTGAGCACTAGATCAAGGGAGGGCTGGGGCCTGAGGGACTTCTATATGCATCTGGATCCAAGGGTAGCTTCTGTCCTGGTCCCTATACGTGCAGCAGTACATTTCCAATTCATCATGACAGGTTTGTACCCTGAGAAACAACAAAAAAAAGTCAGAAGCTATGAACATTTAAATTAAAAAAGAGAGAGTCTTGCTTTCCATCCTGGTGAGAATATTGACTAAGGTCACAGGAAAGTCCTGGCTTATTTCTTAACGCTGCCTTCACCACCCCAACTCTCCCAACTCTTATCCTTTAGGCACCATGGGAAACCGGCTGCAGAGGATCAAGGTAGAAAACACCGAAGAGAACCGCCGGCAGTTCCGAGAAATCCTCTTCACTGTGGACAATTCCATCAACAAGAGCATTGGGGGCGTGATTCTCTTCCACGAGACCCTCTACCAGAAGGACAGCCAGGGGAAGCTGTTCAGAAACATCCTGAAGGAGAAGGGAATTGTTGTGGGCATCAAGGTGAAATTTTTCACCCATACTTCACCCTGGCTTCCTCCCAGGCACAGGCCAGAATGGTGGCCAAGATAGGGCCTACACCAAAGGTTCTTAGTGTCTAATTTCTCACTCTTTTCCATCATCATCTTTCCATGGAGAACCAGATTATCTCTTAGACTTTTTTTCCAATGTGTTCATCTTTCTTGTTTTTTTTTTTTGTATGTGTTCACCTTTCATTCAGGTTTTCTACAAAATACTTCATCTTTTTACATCTGTACCTCTTATTAAAATATGAATATTTGTATCTTCCTCATGAAGTTCTTACAATAATGAATTATGTTTTCAAAACAGTTCCTATCACATAACTGTTCACTGAAGAGCAGCTCCTTTTAGTAGAAGCATTTGCTTTTCTTTTAACTACGTCTTCTGTTTCTCCATGAACTTCTCTGGTGAAAACCAGCGCTGACATAATTTACAATTCCAAACGCTCATTCCATCTTCAACACAACCTATGGAAGTAGACTTTGTTATTATCTTTATTTTAGAGAGAAGTAAAAACAGAACCTCATGGCATAATATAACTTTGTACACAGTCAAGACTATCCAACTCTTCAGTTCAAGGTCTTCTGCTATGTTGAGAGTAGATGTTGGACCCTTATTTTCTTTACTTCCCTCTTGTCAGACCACAATGCCTGGCAGGAGTGAGTATGCAGAAAATGTCAGAATTGACATTCCTACACTGCTCCTTCCAGGAAACATTCATTCTGCTGTGTACTGAACTGCAACCCTCAGTGATCACCAATTCACTCCTTGGTTTGTGAGAGCAAGGGGGTCACCCGGAGCCCTCCTTGTGTTTTACTGATACATGAACTCTACTAATTTATTGTTAATTATTTGTACCCACAGTTAGACCAAGGAGGCGCTCCCCTTGCAGGAACAAATAAAGAAACCACCATTCAAGGTAAGGATATTGCCTACTCTTATGAGTCACCCCCATATGTTTAGAAATGAAAGCTAGTAAAAAAAAAAGGGGGAGGGGGACAAGTTTTTAAAAATACAAAGATTGCAGTGTTTTTAGAGCCACTCACAACTAGTTTTCAGTCCCAGCATCTTGATAGAATGATAATGTGACATTGAGCCACTCACCTTAAAATAGGATAACAATATCTACTTTGCAGAATTGTTGTAGGACTATACACAATGTACATAAAGTGTGTGTCACAGTACCTCTCAGAGAAGAAACTCTGTACTGGGAACAATTTTAAAAGAACAATCCAGCAGCAGTAGAGAGGAAGGCCTACCAAGTTTTGGGCTCAAACATTTGAAATTGAATCCTCATTCCATTACATGCCAAATAATTTTGCAAAGTAATTTATTAACAGGTAGACCAATATTTTCCCCAACATTGGTTTAGCTAAGCAGAATTTGAATTCTAGCGGTCACTTGTTAGCTGAAAAAATTTCATGGTAAAGTCCCTTAATCACTTTGTACCTCATTTTCCTCATCTGTAAATGAGTTTATTATGAATTCCCTCTATCCTACATAGAGTATCCATTATGTACACCAAAGCCATAATTATTAAGCTTTGGGCCCAGTATTATGCTTGACACTTACGTGCTTAGATGCTGTTAATTCTCAAGGTCTGGGATTGAAAGTTAAGAGAGAACTTCACTTCTTCATAGGCCCCTCATGAACCAGATATTGGAGTATAAGGACATTTTTCTGCCTTTTGTGATTTGCAGGACTTGATGGTCTCTCAGAACGCTGTGCTCAGTACAAGAAAGAGGGTGTTGACTTCGGAAAGTGGCGTGCTGTGTTGAGGATAGATGATCAGTGCCCCTCCAGCCTTGCTATCCAGGAAAATGCCAATGCCTTGGCACGTTATGCCAGCATCTGTCAGCAGGTATGGGAATCTGCTTTTCCCTTAGACAAATAAACAGCAGACTGAAGCTTTCTTTAGAACTTTTCAATTTTACCATAACCTCTCAAATCTCATCTCTTCCCTCACTAGTATATTCTGGTGCCAGTTTTGTTCTATCACTTTTGCTATAATCAAGTATACAGGGAAACATTTGGTTCCACAAGCCAATTAGAGACTCACTAAGTGGTGGGTGCAAAGCCAATGCCATCAACTGCTTCCCTCTGTCCAAATCCTTAAGTCAAGTCTTAAAGATGATCAGGCTTTTGCTTGCTTGAATACCCTCCATAATGTCCAGGATAGTATCCTCTTTGATCCAGAGCTAGAAGATAGTATTTCTGACCTAGTCCCAATCCACATAATTACCTGGAGCATGAAGGTTTGATACCAAAGTTTCCAACCAAGTATTTCTGGGTCCAAATTAAGCTTGGTTTGTTTCTGTGGATACTATGTTGCAGTTACTGGAGTTTAAATCACCTGGAAATTTCCAGTTAGAACTGTACATTCTGCTTAAATTCCTTAACTAACTCACACTGTCCTAAAAAGTTGCCATTAAGGTTCTGAGGTAGCTAGAATAGTTTCTAAAGTAAAGTCCGGAAATGAAAGGGTTCTATTTTTATCCTTTTCCTGAAGCCTTTCCTTTATCCTTACTGTCCTTACTCTCCTTCCTGGGCTAAGCCACAAATCTCACTAGACACTTTACCAATTTCTTTTTACCACCTTCAACTCCATAAGGGCTTCATTTTACACCAACTACATCTGTTGACTCTGCTCCAAAGGAAAGGATCACATTTAACATGGATTCGCTTATCTTCCTTCCTTCCATTTTCTCTTTAAGAATGGGCTGGTGCCTATTGTTGAGCCAGAGGTACTTCCTGATGGGAGCCACGACTTGGAACACTGCCAGTATGTCACTGAGAAGGTACTTGGTCTTATGTATAAAGGCACAAATTCCAGTTGAAAAAAAAATCTTGTCTTAAGAATCAGCTGTTACTCAGAATATAAAGAATGTCATATTTGAAATACCCTTTAGCTCAGAATTGTTACATAGTATGGAGCTTGTGGAGAGGCACTCATCAATTCTCCTTTTGGGCATATAGTATGTGGCTGTTATGAAAAAGAATTTGCAATATGAAGGCTTAGGTTGGAGAATCTGTTTTCCCACAGTGGGACCTAGAGAGTCATATTATCTCCTTTGGACCTCAGCTTTATTATGCATATGCTAAGAATTTTTTAAATAAGACATGAGCTCACTTGAGAAAATGTAACTAGAACTTACATTGTTCACATTTAACTTTCTAGTCACAGTGGTTTGGAGAGGGCTTTTCCTCAGGCACTGTGAGAAAATATAATGACACCAGAGTTTAATTACTGCACTTGCAAAATTATGTAGCTGAAATGGGAGAGGAAAGCACTGTTACTAAAATGTATGTTCTTTTAATGACCTTTCAGCTTCTATGACAGTGAAAAGTAGATGTCACCAACTAGCTAAATAAGTCGCATTAGAGGGTACACTGATTAAAGGAAGAATCTCTAGGGGAAGCTAGAGTAGAGGTAGTGGGGAGAGGTAAGCTTGTGTTTAATAGCTATAGTACTGACTAGGAGAGACATAAAGGCTGGTTCAGAAGCTTTATACCCACACACAGAGGAGAGAAGATGAAGGGAGGGGTTAAGGGATTATAATAAAGGGGTTGAGCTTGTTCAAAGTGCACTGTATGTATCTATGGATTCTCTACAAGAAAACCCTCATTTACTATTAATGCAAAACAATGAGATTCATAAACCAAAAGCTGTGGTCACACAATACTTCGGAATTCCTTCAGTTTGCATTCTTGTGGTATAGAAGTATCACCATCTAAAACATCTGGTACTGATTCTGAATACACTGATTTGGATCACTTGTCCTTCAGGTTCTGGCTGCCGTCTACAAGGCCCTGAATGACCATCATGTTTACCTAGAAGGCACCCTGCTAAAGCCCAACATGGTGACTGCTGGTCATGCCTGCACCAAGAAATATACACCACAGCAAGTGGCCATGGCCACCGTCACAGCTCTCCACCGCACCGTTCCTGCAGCTGTTCCTGGTAAGACCTTGCTTCTCTAACTCTAGGTCTCAGTTACCATCCTTTGAAAGCCCCACAAGTATTTGTGTTTGTATGGAGTCTGCTTCTGTGCTTGAAACAAGATACCAGCCATCTCAACTTCAAGTGTCCAGCACTCCTACTCCACAATGACAAATATCCTGAGGCTCACATTCATTTATATCTCCTCAACATTTCACTCCACCCCCCTTATTTATTAAAGCCCTCTCTCCTTAACTTGCCTAACCTCAGCAAAGGCAAGCGACTTCTATGATGCAGTCCCATGCAAACCAAATACAGAGAAGTGAAACCTTACATTTCTTTTAGGCTCAGTGTTTGCTTTCTCAGGCAGGGTACATAAGGTGGGACTAATACAGTGGAATGGCCTTTCTCCTTCCAGGCATCTGCTTTTTGTCTGGTGGCATGAGTGAAGAGGATGCTACCCTCAACCTTAATGCTATCAACCTGTGCCCTCTGCCCAAGCCCTGGAAACTAAGTTTCTCTTATGGACGGGCCCTGCAGGCCAGTGCACTGGATGCCTGGCATGGCAAGGCTGCAAACAAGAAGGCAACGCAGGATGCTTTTATGAAACGAGCTGTGGTAAGATGCTCCTCCCTCTTATTTATGTGGTCAAGTTGTTACGTGGGCCTGACATTCTTGCATAGAGAAGCATTGGTTTCTTTAGGTAGTGTCCTGGACATCTTAAAATTTGTCATGAGAGATCTATAGGAAGACTGGAGCTACAAAGAGTTTTGAATTATCCATCATGCTAAGCAGGTTGATAACAGCAGTTGGAAAATTTCAGCAGGGGTGATTCAGAAGGAAGAAAAGGACCAAGGGATGAACATGGGATACCTTATATCAAGAAAAGGTGAACATGAAAATCAGCAATTAATAATTGGATGAACCAAAGATCCTGGGAAGAAATATAAATGAGTTACAATAGTAATATGACAGGATGAGAAAAGGCCTTTGGATTGGTGTTTAGGAGCACATTAGTGATCCTCAACAAACCAGTTCTTAAAAGGAGAGAGAAGAGAAGGTTCCTGTTTAAGAACTTTGTCAGAAAAGGATTCCTAAAGATGATCAGGATAAATGAGCACCAAAAATGGGTTATTCAACTAGAAACCATTATTTTTAAAATAATTTCTGTGAGCCAAACAAATGACTAAGGGAAACAAGTCAGACACAGACATTTCTTTCAAGGAGCTGGGAATTTTAATAAAACAGGAAAGAGCTTGGCATGATTAAATTACAACAAAAAGGAGCCTAAGGAGAGAATAAAGATTAGGGGACAGATATTCTTGAAGACAGAAATCTTGAGGATATGGGTGTACATGATACTAAATATTCCGTATGGGGGACATGGTTGGTTGTAGACAAAGGTGAGCGAAAGACAACAAAGAAGAAAGAGAATGGGGCATGATTGTAATAGGTTTGGTAGAAATGAAGAGATAAAGCAGTTGATCACCAATTACTCCTTCTGAGAATGATAAAAAAAATGAAGATTTCAATCCTGACAATGGAGAAGGCAAAAATAGTTGTTGAAGGAAATCATCTAGAAAATTGACCAGACATTATGGCCAGACATAGCCAAGTATCAAGTAAGGGGCAGCTGAAAGGAGAATGGATTTGTGGTTCATTAGTTAGTTCTTTCCTGAATTTTCCCCACAACTCTCTTAAAATCTTAAGAGAGATTGAGATTCCGATTCAAATGGGCATCATCCAGGTAAGTGAGTACAGTGTTTACAGGAGGGAGAAGAGTGGTGAATTTTAGTGATAGCTTCCTCTGGCTCATTGATTGTAGAGGAGTACCAGCAAGGATCCAAATTAACCGAAAGTTTGGAGATAAGGCTTTAAAGGAAAGGAATCCCAAAGGAGGATGGAAAGCCATTTCTGTACATTAGAAAAGTGTAAGCCATTTAGAGATTAGCACTTTTCTTTGGTGATAGGACACGGGACATGTATGTGGTGGCAAGTGGCCGACACACAACATGGACTAATAATTCTCAGTGCAGGTTGGAAGGGCCATCCACAGAGAGAAAGAAAGTAGGATTTCTTACCTAAGACAGTGGTGCTCAAGCTTGAGTATGTCCCCTGATCACCTCAGTGTTTGTGAAAATGCATGTTGCACAGTCTCTCCCACTGATTTCTTACTCAGTCTGGGGTGAGGCCACAGATTGTTCATTTCTAATAAGTTCCTAAGCAATGCTTATAGTTCATGAAAGACTCTTTGAGAACTACTGATAGAAGATGTTAACGTCATGGAGCATCTTGGAGAGAATAGACAAAAGCAACAATGAACTAGAAGAAATGGTACCACTGAGTGGCATTTGGTTAGCACTATAAAATTTCCATAAATTTACCGTTCCTAAGAATGTAGGTGGGGAATAAAATGAGACTATGTAACAGCTACATAAAAATTACATCTTCTTGTGGACAGATAGAACATGGAAAAAATTTTAAATAAGTATTTTCTTAGAATAGCGTTCAATACTGTATGAGTGGGAAATTTCTCAGCTTTAACTTCTAGTCATTTTGCAATATGGTTGGGACTAAAAAGAGTTTTTTCCCAGTAACTGACACAAACATCAGGCTTGCCAAAGAAATGATAGAAAAGTGCAGATTAAAAAGTAGAGATAACATATTCTGGAAGGAAGGGGTGCCTGCAGTCTGATCATGGAGGAGAGAGAAAAATGAAAGTGTAGGTGGTTTCAAATGAGAACTAGAGAGGTGCAAGTCTGGTCTGTTTTCCTTAACTCCCTGTCCTTTCTTGTGCTTGTTTTGTAGGCTAACTGCCAGGCAGCCCAAGGACAGTACGTCCACACAGGCTCTTCCGGTGCAGCTGCCACCCAGTCACTTTTCACTGCCTCTTATACTTACTAGGCCCTGATGTCCACCAGCTGGGTTCCAGCTCTTCTAGTGTCTTGGTGGGAGGCCAAAGGGAGTAACCCTTCAACCACCCCTGGCAAGTAGACAAAGATCAGACTAACCGCAATAGAAACCTCAAATCAGTTACTGAAACATGAGTAGGTATGTCAAGCGTCTGACAAAATTTCACACAGTAGTTTCCTTACATTTCCAGTTCACCATGTTCCAGAGTATTTAACCAAGGAAAGACTAGATTTTATTAAGAAAATGATTTCTTTGTCCAAATAACAATTTTTGAGTAAAACATACAAAAGCCCACGGTGGAGAAGTGCATCTTATGAAAGTCATAGGTTGGTAGGTTATAGAAACAGTTGCAACTGACAAAGAAATAAAATGTTCTGTACAACAGCAGTGGGACTGGGGTTTCGTTTTTCCTTTTTTGTTAATGAACTTAGTGTATTTCATTATCTTTTACTCTACTGGGCATGATTGGCATTAAAGGCTGGGATTCTCAACTTTGAGTCCTCACTGGAAATAGCAGATTCTCAGGCCAAATCTTATCCCAATTAAATCAGAAACTCTAGATATGGGCTCCTTGGAACTACTAGACTTTTAAGAAATTCTCTTGGTGATTGTACTGAGCAGCCAAGTTTGGGAACACTAGCCTAATTTCAAGTTGGAGGGTATGAAGTCAGCTATCATGTACAATGGTTTCTTGAAACTTGTGGAGGTGTTAAGAGAGTACATGTGATGCTGATGCTTGGAGCATTCTTCTGTAAGTGCCCAGGCTTGGTGAAATAGAAGACTTTCCTCTATACAGTCAAGCATGCAACCTAGTTTTGCAACTAATAATGGTCATATTACTATAGTGTATAAACTTTCACTTTTCTTAAGCTATAGAAAAAATACTACAGAACATCATAGTTACAAAAGGGAATTTAAAGATAACTTTGAACAATATAAAAAGAATGATTAAACTGATAGAACCTGGGAAAAAGTGAAAAAGTAGAGGAAAACAAAGGGAGTCAGGAATGTTACATAAACTCGATAGGTTAATAAAGGAAGATCTAGAGCTATGGCTTAGCGTAGAATGCCTGTCTAGAAAGCACAAGGCCGAGTTCAAATTCCAGTACCAATAAAGCACTAAAGGAAATGGATATACATCATTAAAAATGAATATTGCAAATTAAGACTATAGATGAACTTGTCTTAAATACCAAAGATATATTTTAAAAGATAATACAAGTAAACAGAGGCAGCATAAGCATTTTAAAGGTGTAAGATAGAACTAGGGTGAGTGTGGCTCAGGTGGTAGAGCCCCTTGGCTAGCAAGAGCTTGGGCCTGAGTTTAAACCCCAGTAGCGTTAAAAAAAAAAAAAAGCCGAAGCAGTCTTCTGAGGAGAAAGATTGGGGAGGAAGGCACAAGAAAGATCATTCCTACTCATTATGCACCTTCTATAGCATATGGATGCTTATTTTATATGCTTGTCATTCCTTTTCTAAAAACAATATTCATCTAAGCAATTTAAAAAAAGTCTAGGTTATTTAGACAAGGACTTTCACTTTATATATGTCAAAACCAAGCTCAGAGCAGTTAAATTACTTGCCAAGAGTCACACTTGTAATGAAGAGCTCAGAGGATAGAATTCAGGTCTCTTTCTCTTATAATGGACACGGAGCCACGAGGAAAGGTGTGTGATGTAAGACCTTGGATTTGTAGATATCTTCCCTTAGGAAGACAATAAAATTTGTCACTCCGCAAAATTACGGAGAAATGGAGTATGATAGTGGATTCCAACAATTTGCTGCCAGATTCCTTTGCTTAAAAAATTTATCTTTGAACTAATGATTTGCTTCATCTACTTTTTGACACTAATTTACTTCCAAAATTGTTTTATATGAAGCTGAGCACAGAGGGCTCACACCTATAATCCTAGCTACTCAGGTGTCTGAAATCCAGAGGATCTCAGTTTGGAGCCAGCCCAAACATTAAAACCTATGGGACTCATTGCTAAAATAACCAGAAAAAAAGGCTGGGCTGGAAGCATGTCTCAAGTGCTAGAGCACTGGCAGTTCAAATTCTGGTATGAGAGAGAAATCAGACATTAACTTAAGAGGAATTTGAATACTATCAAACTCTGTGATTTGAGCTCTAAAAAAAACTTATTTGATTCCTTCCTTCCCCTATTTTATCTGGTGTCTTCAAATCTTTATCACAAATCCCCAACTGTCCCCAGAAACTATGCCCAGTCCTCCTCTTTCCCTCACAAAACATGAATTTACTTATTTGCAAAATATGAGTCACTTCAGATGACTTCAATTTTCACCCTTCCTTAGTGAGACACTAGTAAATCTGACTTCTTTTTTCTCAAATAAGAGGAAGGTCCCAAAATGCTAGGAACATCAATGCTAGAATTCATGTTAGCTCATCCAATAATTTAATCAGCTCTCCTCCCATTGTTTTCTGTCTTCAACCTCTTGATTAGCTATCTTCCAAGACAAAAATGATCTCAATTTTATTTAATGTCAATCTACAGCCCTCTTTTTAAATTTAAATTTCATTTTGACAAATAATAATTGTGTGTATTTATCAGGCACAATGTTATACAACTTTCTTTATATCCAGACAAGTAATCTCCTTTATTCCTTTGTCAGATCTGGAAAACAGTAAAAAGAATGAAAAATAAGTTCTTGACACTTTTCTCAACTAAGACATCCATTCAACAGCTGTATCCTCCCATTACTGTTATTTTAGAAATAATTTGTTCACTTGCAAAGGGCCTAATTTCATAATAAACAAACATTAACCAATTAAATTTTACACTGAATGTAATTATCGTAAAATCTGTCTGTCTTGGCAGCTGATGCTCTCCTCTCCAGAAACTATTTAACCCTCTGATAATGATCCCTTCTCATCCCCAAAAGCTGCTCTTATAAAAATCCTTTAATGATTTCCTGACAACCATATCCAAAAATCTTCAGCTCTTCCTTCCTGTCCTCTGCAACACTAGTCCAGGTCACTTTCCTGTTGTCTTCTCTTTCTCTTCAAATTAACACTATACTCATTCTATTTATAAGTGCTCCTCAAACCTGTCTGTACACATTCCCTTCACTTCAGCTGAATCACTATAATTTCTCAACTACTCTACTGTAAGGCTGCTGAGGTTCTTTACATTATACTTTTGAGACAATAATTTTGCATGGAAATTGTTTTTGCTTTTTTTGGTGGTACTGGGGTTTGAGCAGGCACTCTACTACTTTGAATCACACACCCCAGGACATTTTGTTCTGATTTTCTAAACAGGGTCTCACATTTAAGCCCAGAATGGCCCTGACTAAAATCTTCCTATGCAGATATCCCATGTAGCTGGATGACAAATGAATGGCATCATGCCCAGCTTTTTATTGAATGAGGGTCTCGAGAACTTTTGCCCAGGTTAGCCTCAAACTATGAGCTTCTTGATTTCCATCTCCCAAGTAGCTAGGATTACAGGCATGACCACTGCACCAGGCTACATATGCAATTTCTGAAGCATAATGCACACCTAAGAAAGGTTAAGAACTATGCTCCTAAATCATTTCCCTCCCATTCATATACAAATATTGTGTACTGACTTAAAATAGAGGAAATTTAAGATGTTTTTGTGTAGTATTTGGAGAGTACACAAGGGGAATATTTAAGCAAAGTGTTTCTTAAGCTGGATGCTGGTATATACAATGGTGTACGTTTTTATTTTGCAAAAACTCAGACCTCTACAATCTAATACATACAGCATACTTAAATATACATCACCACAGAAACGTTAGGTAGAAGTCTGCAGAGCACAGTAACTTTCTTGATCTGTGGCCTTCTTACCTCCTGCTACATTACTGAATCATCAAGTAAACAAGAGTTCAACCCTGAAGTTACAAGAGTCTGTCAGAATTCTTTAATGTCACCTCCGCCAGTACACATATTAGTTAAAGCATCTCCTGTTGATATACTAACATTTTCTTTTTCTCTTCTTTTAGATTCTTCCTTTCCCTCCCCAGAGCCCTTTACACAATTCTATCCTTTTCTTGGGAGAGAAGTGAACACAACTAGTTTAAAGTAAAAACCATTCTTTGGGCTAGGTTTTTTAAATAAGCAATGAATGAAACATGCAGTTAAGAGTTATCCACTGTTACTGGAGTTTTCAGTTGTCACTCCAAATTCACATCCTTGGTTGTTAAAAAAAATTGTTAAAATTATATAATTCTATTATGTCATACAACTAGAGCCCCAAATATGGTGAAGTATTTTTTAAAAAAAGCACCAGAGTATCTTCTAAACAAGATTAGTATAAAATTTCAGTGAAAGACAAATGTTTTAATGTGCCTTCATTGAACACACACTTTGCATTAAGTTTCTTAAAAATCTTGAGAACAGAGGGACTTCATTTCTTAGTTAAGTCTATAGTCTGGGAATGACTGGTAAAACTAGGATAGGTAGATAATTTTATTGAAAAGGTTGCAGTTTGTTACTTTTTTACACTTTTCACTGTAAGACATTTTGTTTTGAAACCTTAAATGTAAAACTGTAAATAATTTTAACTGAGGGGGTGAACATGTACATACACTTCCACATGCACAAACATGAAAATTCAGAGACGAGGTTTAAAATTGCTAGAGTATATAAAAGAGGTCATTTGCTCAAACTATTAGAAAGTTAGATACTCAGAAACTAAACAAAATAGACTGTGTGTGTGTGTGTGTGTGCTGGTAATAGGTCTTAGACTCAGGGCCTGAGTGCTGTCCCTCAGATTTTTTGCTCAAGGCTCATGCTCTACTTCTGGCTTTTTGGTGGCTAATTGGAGATAAAAATCTCATACATTTTCTTGCTGGGATTGGCTCTGAACTGTAATCCTCAATCCTCAGATTTCAGCCTCTTTTGTAGCTAGAATTACAGATGAGAGCCACCAGTGCCCAGCTAAAGTTTATTTTGTACACACACACACACACACACACACACACACACACACACACACACACAAATCCTAGCAACAGGCTCAGCAAATAAGAGCAACTACTGTAAAATTTCTGATCTAATTTAAACATCCTAGCAAGGTATTTAATAGGACTGATTTTAATATTAAAGTAACAACTCTTAGGCAGAACAAAAACTAAAACAGATTTTAATGATTAAAACACATGAATTAATAGGTTTATAACAACCATTGAGGGAAGCCCTAGAACCAGGATTTCAAAACAGCATGCAAAAATCTACCAAAAAATCTGAAGCAATACCAAAATATCTCAGCTTTCTAGTATAAGCTTCATGTCTTTGTATTTCCAATTCTTGGTATTCAAAATATGTACAATTTCACATGCTCCTGGTGTGAATGAATAAGCTTATTCATAGAGTATTACATTTTTCACAGATGGGAGGACAAAAAGAACAGTACATTTCCCCAGTTTTTTGGGGGGGATTATGAGGGAAAGGCACTCCCAAAGATTCCTTGATAACGTCTTTGTAGGTTTCTTATCATATTAACATGTGAAATAAATGATGCACTCAGTTCACTGATCTGGAAACAAGGTATGGGGATCACCTTTCATTAACCCACATGCCAAACAACTGAAGAACCAAAAGCTTTGTATATTGGTTTCAAAACATCTGTGCTTTGTTTGACAATATACATATGCCTATGCTTAATCACTTGGATTAGCTATGAATAGCTAAACATTCTAGTGCAACTGAGGAATTGTCATATGAGATGGTACTTGAGAACTCTTTTAAGTCATTATTCTTAGTTTTCCAACAGCTTACAAGATCCTCCACCTTGACTCAACTCTCTCCTTCAGGACACCCTCCCAAATGCTCTGTACCTAGGTTCAACTTCTCTGCTGAATGATCTGTTAAAGAAAGATGCTTAATCTTTCTCCATGATTATGAAAGCAAAGAGCAACTGGAACTCATTTGCCCACAGACAGTTACTAAGAGGATCTTGCCTGAGGGCCAAGGAGAATTTGCTTTATTACTAAATCTGACCCACACTGAGCCATACTGAAACTGCACTTGGGTAGCTAGTCTCAAATTTAATCAAAACTATTTATTTCTCTACATTTGCTGCATCCATGCAGTATGTAATTTTTGATGCTGCATTAGAGAAATGCGGCAGGTAAAGGCTTCACCACAAGCATCACATTCATGGGTTTCTTGAGTTTTCATCTCTGCATGGATCTTCTGATGATTGACAAGGCTGCGCTGCTGACTGAAACTTTTGTCACACTTCTCACATTTATATGGTTTCTCCCCTGTATGTATTCTCTGATGTTGAATAAGACCCGAGTTCCGACTAAAGGCCTTCCCACATTCTTCACATTTATGGGGCTTATTACCTGTGTGAACACCCTGATGTCGAATAAGATTACAAAGCTGACTGAAGCTTTTGCCACACTGTCTGCACAGATAAGGTCTTTCGCCAGTGTGGATTCTCTGATGTTCAATAAGAAATGAGCTCCGACTGAAGCTTTTCCCACAAACAGTGCACAGGTAGGGTTTTTCACCAGTGTGGATTCTTTGATGTTGTACAAGATGAGCACTAACACTAAATGTTTTCCCACATTCATCACATTTGTAAGATTTTTCCTTAGGATAAACCTCTTGTTGTATAATAAGACTGCAATTTGGATCAAAACTTTCCTTAGTTTCACTGTATGGGTAAGTCTTTTCCCTAGTGTGAATTCTCTGATGCTGAATTAGACCTGAGCTTCTACTAAAGGCTTTTCCACATTCCTCACATTTATGAGGTTTGTCTCCTGTGTGAATTCGCTGATGACGAGTAAGGTTGCAAAGTTGACTGAAACTTTTCCCACATTCTTTGCACTGATAAGGTCGTTCACCAGTATGGATCCTCTGATGTTCAATAAGAAAGGAGCTCCGACTGAAGCTTTTTCCACATTCGATACAAAGAAAAGGCTTCTCACCAGTGTGAATTTTTTGGTGTTGAATAAGGTATGTACTTAGTCTAAAGGCTTTCCCACATTCACCACACTTATGGGGTCTTTCCCCAGTATGAATTCTCTGATGCTCAACAAGCAATGAATTTCGACTAAAGCTTTTCTTACATTTGGTACAGTGATAAGGCTTTTCACCAGTGTGAGTTCTTTGATGCTCAATCAGGTGTGACTTCCAACTGAAGGCTTTCCCACAGTCACTACATTTGTGGGGTTTCTCACCTGTGTGAATTCTTTGATGTTTAACAAGGCTCCTTCTCTGGCTGAAGCTCTGTTTACACTGATTACACTGATAGGGTCTCTCTCCAGTGTGGATTCTCTGATGTCTAATAAGGGTTGAGCTCACACTAAAGGTTTTTCCACAGTAATTACACTCATAGGGCCTTTCCCCAGTGTGAATTCTCTGATGTTCAATAACAAATGAGCTTCGACTAAAACTTTTCCCGCATTCGTTGCACTGAAAAGGTTTCTCACCAGTATGGACCCTTTGATGTTGAATGAAATGGGCCTTGCGGACAAAACCCTTTCCACATTCTTCACATTTATGGCATTTCTCTTCTGAGTTTGGTCTCTTACGGATAATATTAGTGTTTTCTCTGAATATTTTCTGTTCCTGGGTCAAAGATTCCCGTGGTATTTCCCATAAGAAGATCCCTCTCTGTTTATCTAATCTACCTACAAGTTCAAAGGTTTCTTGGCCCATGGGATCTTGCTCAATTTCACTTTTTATTCTTGTAACTATTACACCTTGTGGTTCCACATCTTCCTCAATTTCTTCAATTTCTTGTTTCACAATTGGCTCCTCATGCTTATCTCTGTTCAAAACATCTAGAATATTTGTAAATAAAATATGTAATGAATAGCCAAGTTCTTTAAAGGAAATAACAAACTTTAAATAAGGTAACTAAGATAAATTATTTGACTGAATCATGATACAGTCTGCTACTTACAGTATTATGGGAATTAAATTAGTTCATATATGGAAAAGTCTTGCTATGCAGTTCATGCTGGCTGGCCTCAAGCTCCTAGGCTCATCAAGTTCTCTTGCAGATGAGAAGCTCAACTATAGCATTTGTTACTGTATCTGGCTTAATATTAGTATTTGATATTTTTAGTTATCTGACTAAAAGAATAAGAAATTTTTTGAGAAGTGTATGAAGAGGGTTTAGGGGCCAAAAAATAAGAGTAGGAGTAAGAAGAGTAGAAGGGCTGTGAAATCCATAGGAATGATTATTATGAGTGAACAACAACAACAATAAAAGCAAAACACATAGTGGTGGGATTATCAAGGAAAAAAGGTAATGGAGGAAAAAAAAATTAGGTTCAGAAAAATTTAGGATGAGAAAGCATTTCTGGGATGTATGCAGACCAAATAATTGACAGAAAGGAACAGATTAGGGCTGGAAATGTGGCTCAGAGGTAGAGTGCTTGCCTAGCATACATGATCTGGATCTGATTCCTCAGTACCACATAAACAGAAAAAGCCAGAAGTAGAGCTTTGTCTCATGTGGCAAAGTGCTAGTCTTGAGCAGAAGAAGCTCAGGAACAGTGCCCAAGCCCTGAGTTCAAGCCCCAGGACTGGCTAAATAAATAAAAAAGCAATAGATTATAGGATCTTGGAATGATAAAAGACAAAGGACCAAGGGAAAAGAAACTAAAATTTATTCACTAACCATTAAAAGCATACAGACACTATGTAATGAGCCAACATTCAAAGGTAAGACATAAAGTCTCCTATGAACTACAATGAGTGCTTAATAAACATTTATATGATAGTAATTAAAAATTAGCTCCTAAAGATAAAATAGCTCAAAAAATGTATAAAGGGTTGAAGTAACATGGTATCTTATGAGCTGATAACTGACAGGAAAGAATTACTAAGCAACTGCTTAGAACCTTGATTTATTCTTTGCCTATTCAATGTTCTTTCCCAAATTACTTTTCGTGGACTGTTCCTTTCACATAATAAACAAGGGATAAAAGAATTTCCTTAACTTTTTGCCCTATCTATAAAATTATCTTCAATAGTACATGCAGATAGATTTTGCTCATATCCAACGATAACACATCTACCTCTTCCACATCCAATTCACTTTTGAGCATTTGTTCAATTACTGTTTCTGCTCTTCTCAACCCACGCTTTCCAATTATATGTTCCTATCATCATATAAATATATCTCATTTAATTTGAACCTGAAATGCTTTTCTTGATGAAAACCAAACTCTGAAAAGAAGATTTTAACACGATAGCTTCATTTCCTGCTTATCGTGTTCAATATTTTCTTATTCAATTTATTTTGCATACTATTACAAAATCTGTTTCTAGCACACAGGGAAACATCTCATCAAATCAACAAATAAAATGGGAATTTTTCAGTCCTTAGCACTTTCAGCAGCATCTGACACTGTTGGGTCATCCTCATTTTTTTGTTTTCTATTATGGTGTTTTAATTTGCTCTCTACTTCTCTGACCTTCTGTAATTATTTTCCTCATTTATTTCTGCTCCTTTGACAACTAGGTTACATAACTGTTACCCAGATTTATGTCCATATACATCCTTTATATCCTGGTGCCAGCTACACTGCACTTAGTGTTTGTTATATTTTTGTCTTTTTTTAGATTGTAAGTTCCTGGTGAGAAGGGAAAAGTCTTTATAATGTTTATATAGTAGATATTGCTTTTTTTGTGAGGTTCTTTACTCAGCACTAAAACAAATTTGTCACTACTTGAAGGTATCATGAATGGCTACTTCAACTTTCTGAACCAAATGAAAATAAAATAGCAACAACATGATAAAAATCTGGTTCTTACCAACAAGAAAAAAGTAAATATTATAGAAAAATAAAATATGCTAATCTAGCAGTAACAAAAACTATAAAAATAGGAATAAACATCACAAGGAATGTACAGATCTAATCAGAAACGGTGGTGCACAAATCCTATATATCCAGCCACTTCAGAGACTTCTTATAATATTACTATTATAAGGATAATTCTTACCAAACTATTCCATGAAACTAATATTCTTATAAAAATCATATGAACCAAGTAAAAAACAAACAGGAATCTAAATTTCAACCAGAAAATTCAAGCAACTTGTTAAACACATTTTGAAAAGGAATACTAAAGAATGATATCAGATATAAAATATTATCCAAGTAAATAAACAATGAAAAACTACAAAAACAAATAGGTAAACAGAACAGGAGGAAGAAGAAAATGAGTGTAGGCTTTCAAACAGAGCAGCACTGAAATTACCTATTTATTAGATCTGGACTTAATTATGATGTCGTGCTTGTTTTTGTGATCATACCTAATTTATCTATAGTAGGCAGTTGGCTAAAACTGAGTCTCTTCAGAGAGAACTAAAATACCTACTTAATTTGAATGTGGCCAGGATTGTCATCTAGCCACAATATAAAAGCTAAAATGAGAGAAACATATGGTCATAAAAAGGCAAGAATACTCTGCTAAGGGGAAAAATCAGAGCAGAGTGCTGTGAGTAAAACGTTTCTCTTCTGAAAATTCATGTAGATACCCTGAGCCCCAATGTGTTGGTATCTGGTAGATAAGATCATGGGGGTAGGGTCCATATGATGGGATTCTAAGTTCTTGGAAGCAAAATAAAGACAAGCATACTCTTCCTGCTCTACTTCTGCTATGTGAGGACAAAGAAAGGAGGTAGCTAGCTTCAAGTCATGAAGAGGGCTCTCACCAGGAATCAAGTCTGACAATATCTTGATATTGGACTTCCCAACCTCCACAACTATGAGATAAAAAATGTCTGGTACTTAAGCCATCTAGTCTATAGCAGTTTGTCAGAGGTGTCTAACATAGAATATTCTGACTTCTTGAGACTGATTCAGTTTCTGCTTTTAGCCTTTTTTTGCTGTTTAGCTATACTCATGATCATATGTTACAGAAGACATCCTTATGTTCCTATAATAATTTCATAGTTGCGGGGGCTGGGAAGGTGGCTCAGTGGTAGAGTGCTTGCCTTGCATGCCAGAGGCCCTAGGTTCGATTCCTCAGCACCACATAAGCAAAAAGAAAAAAGCCGGAAGTGGCGCCGTGGCTCAAGTGGTAGAGCGCTAGCCTTGAGCTGAAGAGCTGAGGGACAGCGCCCAGGCCCAGAGTTCAGGCCCCACGACCGGACCCAAAAAAAAAAAATAATTTCATAGTTGGATTAAGTTAGGTTGAGTTTATTTTAATAATCTTTAAACAGTTCTAGCAATATGGGAGCTTAGGGGAGAGAGAGTAGGAAAGAAAATGGTAGATATACTATAGGACAGAACAAGATTGGGTTAATATGATGGCAAGTTGTATTGATGGAAAGTTGAAATAAAGAAGACAGCTAGCTGGGTGCTGGTGGTTCACACCTGTAATCCTAGCTACTGGAGAGGCTGAGATCTGAGGATTACCGTTCAAAGCCAGCCCAGGCAAGAAAGTTGCTGAGACTTTCCTTATTTCCAATAAACTACTCAGAAAAAGTCCCATGTGGCTCAAGTGGTAGAGTGTTAGCCTTGAGAGAAAAAGCTCATGCCGTGAGTTCAAGCTCCACAACCAACCAAAAAAAGAAAGAAAGAAAGAAAAAGAAAAAAGAAGAGAGCCTAAAAGCACAAGATCATGGATGAGTTCACTGCCATGCCTTTTGTCCTTATGGTATTCACACATACTCCAGCAGGCAGAGCTGACACTGGTCTGGTTCTATCAAGCAGGATACTATAAATATGGATAAGTTAGCAGTAACTCATAGAAACCACTGGCATATTACTTTCTTTTTTTAAAATCATCATCTGATATGGCTGATAACAGAAGAGACAAAACATCCAGGCCAAAGCTATATTTATATTTAGTCCCAGTATAAGAAATTAAAATGTCCTTTTTAGTCAGTTGTGGGGCTTGAACTCTGGGCCTGAACACTGTCCTTGAGCTCTGTTTTGCTCAAGGCTTGTACTTTACCACTTGAGCCACAATGCCTCTTCCAGTTTTCTGGTGGTTAATTGGAGTCTCACAAACTTTCCTGCCTGGAAAAGTCTCACAGACTACAATCCTCAGATTTCAGCCTCCTCAGTAGGTAGGGATACAGGCATGAACCATTGGTGCCTGACTAAAATTTTTGGCTTTTAAAGCTATAAGAAACCAAAATTTCAACCAATGAATACATACCTTAGTACCAGAATATGTGAAAAGAAAGGGAGACTGGTAGCCTTAGCTTAGTTTAAGAAAATAATCCAGGTAGGAGATATGGAACCCTAAATTAACTGTACTTACTCAGTCACACAAATATTAACAAACATACAAAGGAGGTAGATAGCTACCTCCTTTCTTTGTCCTCACATAGCAGAAGTAGAGCAGGGAGAGTAATGCTTGTCTTTATTTTGCTTCCAAGAACTTAGAGTCCCTCATATGCACCCTACCCTCATGATTTATCTTATCTGTGATAAATGCAAGAAAATTAAATGAAGCTGATAGGAGTTACTGTGGCTAGAGAAATAACATTAAACAGGGATTACAGAAGAGGATGATAAACACTATTAGTACAGATAAAGTAGTTCAGAGAATGGAGTATTTAACTTCATTTAATTTTAAGAACTTACTGGATTATTTGCGATTTGCCTGTTAGAATTACTTACATGGCCTTCAAAAAAAGATAACTAAGAATCTGAAATTCAACACAGGAGATAACAAGAATAATCAATATTTATATTGTGCTTAGGGCCCTAAGTGCTATACATATGTATTAATTTAATTAATACTGACAATAACCCTAAGAGGCTTTACATTAAAAAGAAAAGCGACTGAGGCACAGAGGAATGAACTAATTCATTCTTAGTCATAAGGCTATTAAGGGGTGAAGCAGGATTTGAATGTAGGTAGTTAAGTTCCACTCTATGTTGAAGACATATCATCACCTGTCTTTATATCATCACTTAACAACACTTGACATGAACTGAGTGGAGGTAAGATCCCCCAAGCAAAGTATGCAGATTGTGAGGAAGTCTGACAGTGCAAACAAATGGTGAGAAACAATAAAGAGGCTGAAATAAGCCACATGTGCTGGTATATGCCAATACTCTCAGCACTCAGGAGGCTGACAAGATCATGAGTTTGAGGCTACCCTGAGATACATAGCAAGACCCTGTCTCAAGAAAAACCAAACCAGCTAAATAAGAATTTCAGATATTCATAAAGAGGTGGAATAAATTAATGAGGTCTTCTGCATTTAACAATGAAGTTAATATTAACCACTATTTAGCAACTTAAGGGGACTGAAGACAAAACAAAATAACACAGAAATAAAATAAAATAAAAATAGTATGGAACACAGAAAAATTTGGCTGTGAAGAAAATAAATAGCAAGTGCACCAAGAGGTATACCTTAGCTCAAGGACAAATATTTTTCTTTTCTCCCACTTCCCCAGATGTAAAGGCCATGACCATACCTATAATCAGAGTAAAGGTAATATGGGATAAAGAATAAAGACTAGAAGCTATTAGAGAAAAAAAGATGATTGATACAATAAGCTCTGGAGAAGAAAAAAGATGAGAGCAGCTTCAAGGGTGTGGATAAGGGGTAGAGAAGTTGAGAGTTCATGCTTAGTGAACTATATTTTCTTTGTGAAACAGAAGTGAGGTTCATAGAGTTAAGGAAAATACTAAATTTTAAGCAGCCACTAAAAGATCAGATAAAAATATCAAGAAAAAAATGCCAAAATAAAAACCTAGCAGGACTTTTTTTTTTAAAGCCATGTATGTTTACAGTACTGACCCTTCTGGTTAGTGAATTTTTCCTGCTACTCAAGTAGAAGAGGTGAAAAGGCAGATTTTAAAGGACAGGATCTCAACATCAGCTCAAGATGGAAAGACAGTATGCTGGTAATTTACATGGGAGGACAAAACCAGACACATCTAGGGGTAAGAAGCACATAAAGAAGGAGTAGGTTTAGTGTAAGGGTATAAGAGAAATAGAATGTTAGATGGTAGTAAGCAAAACAGGGGCAGAAAGCATGGCTATTTTGGTCAGTCAATAAATAAGTGGAAAAAAATAATTAAGTGGTCAGAAAATGGTATAGCGAGGCTTCAGATTTGCCTGTTAAAAAAAAAAATGAGGGCCTTATTAACTCTGAGTAGCTTAATCCATGAGGAAAGCAGGTTCCTTTACATTCACAGAATCCAGATCCAATGAAGCTCCAGAATTGACTGGGTCAAGAAAAGATTGTGAAATGTGATAAGGTAACATGTAAAGGACCAAAGGCAAACTTGATAGAAGACGGTGAAAAGGAATTCAGTGGGTTGAGCAAAATTGCTGGGGCTTCAAAGGAGAGGTTTTGTTTGGGAAGTTGGGAAACTGATGCTTTGGGATCAGCACAAATGAATTGCAAGAACAATAACTTCTCCCTTCCAGTTTTGAGACAAAGGATGGGGAAGGAGGAGGATGTGGGAGAATAAGCAGCCCCTCCTTGAAGGACTGCCAGAGAAGTGATGTCCTTGGAAACCTGCCAAGTTTCAGTTAAGGGCAGGAAGGGTAAGGAACACTGTGTGAAGAGGAACAGGGGCTCCAGAAGGCAGAGTAAAAAGGGGTGGGAGGAAAACAGTGGGAGGATGTGCCAGGAGGGAGAGTACAGAGCAACATGGGAATGAGATTATGAAGACAGGAAGCCAGAAAAGCTTGTATCTTGGTCACTGCAAAGAAGCTAGAAACAAGAGAGTCATGGAAACAATTCATGGGTGAAGGATTTGAATCAGAACTTTGAAATAAAGTAGATTTGATACTAACCCTGGTCTAAGCATTCTGGGTCTGAGTTCTGGTAGTTTCTCAGATATTTTACTTAGGGAAATAGTACATTCTTACCCAGTGAGACCAGGTTTCCATAATTCTCCACCATGACATCTTTATACAGGCTTCTCTGAGCTGGGTCCAGATACTCCCACTCCTCCTGGGTAAAAAACACAGCCACATCCTCAAATGTCAGCAACCCCTGAAACTGTACGATTTCTGCAGTCAGTTCCTATAGTCTCAAGGACACATTCAGTGGTAGAAGTAATCACTTACCATGGCCCAGTAGGCTAGAAGAAATGTGGTAACTAAGAGTGCCAAAAGATGCCCGATTCTGGGAACTGACTGTAAGAGATGGGCATCTCAGACTAGAGGTTAACTGGGTTCGATCCTTGTCCTCTGAAGTAAAAAGCGTAAGGATAAAGTTTTGGGGGTATAATACTTACACCCTAACATGTACACTTTAGTAAACTGCTCCCAAGGCCTCTAAGTTTCCCTTAGCTCACTACCCTGCTAGACTATTCTCATTGCAGTATGAGCCGGTTCAATTCAAATCCATCCGTTTCTCTAAGCACCTACCTTGGGGTTCAGGCATCACCAACAGGTACAAGAAGACAATAGGAGGTCCGGTGGGGGTAGGGGGTGGGGGAAATCAAGCCTCACCTGGAGAAGCTCACAAATGAGAGCTAGCTTGGAGCGTTGCTAATTTTCCCCAGCCGATTTATCGAGTCGCTCTGGAATGTACTGGAGCGCTGGTGGGCGATCTGCAAATAGACCGTACCCCAGAGCACCCGAGGAAGGGAGGCGGGGTCCCGGCAGGGCACTAGCGACCGGGAGGTGTGGAGCAGCAAAACCGGGGGGTGAGGGGGGGCGGCAGGGGCTGGCCTACCCGCCCCAGGCTAAGTGATAATGGGGATCCCTAGGCTTACCTTTGGCTCCACCGGGGGGCTCGGGGAGGCCATCTCCCGGCCAGAGTCCAGGGCGCCCGCACGGAAGAGAGACTCTGGTGGGGGCCAGAGGCTGCAGGAAATTAGGCCCAACCAGGACGAGGTTCCTCGATGGGGGCCAGCCAGGTCCTACCTCGGTCCCCGGAGCGGTCACGTTCCCAGCAGCATATCCAACCCGCTTCCCCGCCGCCCTGAACGCCCTCCCCTAGCGGGGTTGTGCCGTCTTTCCGGCCTCCCTAGAGCCTCCTCCCAGCTGCCAGTTCCACCTCCTCCTCACAGCCCAGCAACGCGGTGACCGACCATCCGCCCCCGGACCCGAAGGCGTCACCCAGAACCTTCCCCGGACGCCCTCCAACTACAACTCCCATCATGCCCCGAGGGTGAGCCGTGGCCAAGCCTTCGCAATGGCTGCCGAGACTACACTTCCCAGCGTGCAAAGGGTGAGGACGACTACCGCGGCTACTAAGCTTGCACCCGATTGGCTGAGAAGGAGAGCGTGAGCGAGATTGAGGGGAGGTCAAGGTTTAGGCTCTCCGTGAAGATGGCGGCACTCCGTGTGTCCGGCGTTGCTGCGAGTGGCTTGACGTGGGCCTGCTTGGGGGCAACGCGCAGAGAACTTTGGTCTCTCACCAGGTAGAGTTTGAGGAGGTTTTTTTTTTTTTTTGGCCTGTGGCTTACATTCACTAAAAGTAAAGAGAGGCCCGGAGAAAAGTGAAGGACGGGCTGAGGCCGCGTGGTGCCGTGTTAGATTGGGACGCGGGTCCCGGGCTGGTGGAGGAGCGGCGCCAGGTGAAGTGGATCGGGGTTCCCAGGGCGGAAGCTTCGGGGTCTCCCTGTCCGAAAGGGGGCTCCCTGTGCCTCCATCGCATTGGGTGGTGTATGGCCGTGCGTGCACGCCAGCCGCCCCAGGCCCGTGGTTGGGGGCGGGCCGCTTCACCGACGGGCGCGCGGAACCGCCGCCGGGCCGAGCTCCCTGCGAGCAGGCCCGCCTCTGCTCCCAGCCAGGCCGCCAAGGGCAGCGCCGCCGCCGGGGACGTGTGTGCTCATTCGTTCATACACTCGCCGGCTCTGCAAGGGCGTTGTTCTTTTTCTTTTGAAACCTTTATTACTAAATAGTTGTGCAGAGAGGTTCCAGCTCCATAAGTCGTGTTAGGAGTAGCGTGCATGTTGATCTTTGTCACCCCTCCCATTCATTGTTCTTCGTCTCGCCCCCTCCCCATCCTTACCCTCAAGTTACATAGTTCACTTTTTACATATTGTACGTTGAATATAATGGCCGTATTTGCTCACTCTTCCCACCTCCCATTCGTGTGGGAGGGTATTTTTTCCTAAGCGTCAGGATAGAGAATCACAGACCTTTCTTTTCCGACTGAGGAAACGGAGGCCCCACCACAGGAACGTATTTTCCCAACATTAGAAAAGACAGAGTTGGTTCTAGAACCAGGTTTCCTAGTTTTCTATCTCCTATTTTTCCCCACTGCATTGCGTCCTGTCAGTAGACCTAGCTAATTTTTAAGGGTATCAAAATATAGGATGGAAACTCTTAAATTTCAAGTTAGTCCTAACAGAAGGGTTTTTGTCATCAACTCTTAGCCCCCTCTCTACCTTCTTTGGTCAATGTTTGTTACTTACTGCCTGTCAAGTCTACAAGTTTGTGCTTGTTATTATTTGTCAAGTAGTTTAGATGAAGAATAGAGTGGCTAATTAGACCAAATTAGTAGAGGGAGGAAAATGACCAAATATAGAATATTATTTTTAAGTAGTGAATTATGAAAACTAGAGCATTTAAAAGATAACTAAGCTAGGTGTAATGGTCCACACATATACATGTAATCTCAGCACTCTGGAGACCAAGGCAAAAAGGCAAGAGTCTCTGTCTCAAAAATGTGTGTGTGTGTTTGCATGTTTGAGTCCCTTATATTACCTTATGTTTCTGAGGTGTCTACTATAATATTTCCTCTTACAATTTTGATTTTATTTAAGTTAAAAAGGGGTTTTCAACTGTTATGTTTTCAAACGACTCAGTTTTATTGGCTTTGCTTTTTTTCTATTTTTATTCTATGTTGGATTTCTATCACTTATAATTTTGTCAATATTGCAGTTTGAACACAGGTCCTTGTTCTTGCTAGAGGTGTTCTGCCATCTGAGCCATGCCTTTTGCTTTTAACTTTTTTTTGGCAGCCCTGGGGCTTGAACTCAGGGCTTGGGCACTGATCTTACTTTTACTCTGTCGCATGAGCCACACTGCCACTTCTGGTCTTTTCTGTTTATGTGGTACTGAGGAATTGAACCCAGGGTTTCATGCATGCTAGGTAAGCACTCTACCATTAAGCCACATTCAAAGCTCATTGCTTTTAACTGCTTTTCAGGTAGGGTTTCCTACTTTTTCCCTTAGACCAGCTTTGTACTGATTTTTTTTTTTTAATGCTTCCCATGTAACAAATCATTTAAGTAGGAAAGGAGGAATTGGTGGTGTTCTTGACCAGACACCATTTCATTTCTTGTGCCTCGTATCTCTGTAGGGATGATAAATTCCTGTGAGATACCATTGAGGTTAATTAAATATTAGAGAACTAGGGATCTTAAACAAAATGACTTACATTGATTCTTAGGTTTTTTTGTTTTAAGTTCTGGAGCTTGAGCTCTGGGCTGGCACTGTCCCTGAGCTTCCTTTGCTCAAGGCTAGCACTCTTATCAACTTGAGCCACAGTACCACTTCCAGCTTTTTCTGAGTAGCTTATTAGAAATAAAAGTCTCATGGACTTTCCTGCCCAGGCTGGCTTCGAACTGTGGATCCTCAGATCTCAGCCACCTGAGTAGCTAGATTTACAACTGTGAGACACCCACACCTGGCTGGGATTCTTAGAGTACATAAAGTATACACTAAGCTCTTGTTTCTGTTTGCATTAATTCATTCAACCAGAAGCATTCCTAGGAAAAGAATCTCTTAGGCTTTTCCATTCTCCACAGTGCTCAGAAACTAGTCAATGTACAAATTATTTACTGATTTTGATTGAGGAGCAAAATTCAGTCAGATGTTAATGTCATTAATAAAGTGAACCAGAGATTGATATACTTGCTTTTGGACATTCCAGAAAAGAAAAAGAACCGGTGGTGGCTGAGCCAGTAGAAGAGATGAGGAAAGAACCTGTTCTGGTGTGTCCACCTTTACGAAGCCGAGCATACACACCACCCGAAGATCTCCAAAGTCGTCTGGAATCACGTCTTAAAGAAGTTTTGGGTTCATCTCTTCCTAGTGATTGGCAAGACATCTCCGTGGAAGATGGACATATGAAGTTCAGTCTCTTGGCACACTTGGCCCATGACTTGGGCCATGCAGTACCCAACTCTAAGCTTCACCAAATGTGTAGAGTCAGAGATATTCTTGATTTCTATAAGGTCCCTGTTAAAGATATCTCTAAGTTTGATGAACTTACTGTCAGTAATTTGCCTCCTAATTTGAAAATCACCTGGGGTTATTGAGCAATTCAGAAAACGGACACACTGAACATAATTTTGTTCTGAGCAAGCTGAATGCTTATTGGACCTTTTGATACTTTGTGTTTTATAAAACAACTTTCTGTAGAAGATTAATATCTCTGTCTTGTTCTCTCTTTTCTCATCATGAATCAGCAAATAGCAGGCTTTTTTCCTGTTTTTCTCATTTGCTGAAGCTGTTTTTTAAATACAGTTTAGTCATTAATAATTTATGGAAATTTTTCTTCAGAGGACATTGTAACTTGGGTTTAGGATAGTAGGCTATTGCAAATTCAGATGTTGTCTTTACCCTTTCTAGGTATAAACTAATAGTTCATGAAAATGCCCTCACTAGGGCTCTAAGATCTAAGATGAAAATAGTATACATTACAGTCATATACAAATGAGGGCATTTGTATTAGATTAAATAATTAAAATAAACATAAAGGTGTGCTGTATATTTTAGAAGGTGGTTTTGTCCCTGTTGACTGTTTGAATAGACTAAAAACTGCTGTATGTTCATGATTAATTGCTTAGAAGTAAAGTAAATTTCTTAAAATATATTGTATCTTTAGTTTTTTAAAGTGAAAGTTGATGGGAGGTTTTTGCCTTGTGATTTTCTTGAAGTATTATTTTTTAAAAGTAAGAATATGTGGCAACTATTAAGAGATACGCCAGGTTCTTTATTTAATTGCATATTCTCGCTATGCTTATTTCAAACTTTTTTTTCTAGAAGTTTCAGGAAAAAATGGCCTTAGATTACTTATAATTACTAGATAGGGTGGCAGATCTGTCTACTTTGATGTACTTAGTTTGTGAAAATTGCTTGAATAGATTACCAGATGATGAAGAATGGCAAAATTGGTGCTCAAATCAGAAATGGTTTTTCCTCACAGTTTAGATATAACTAGAAAGTAATGAAACAGGAAGATGTTTGTTACATAGTTTATCTTGACTACTTACAATTCTCAAAGAATTTTGAGAATTGCATTTCTTCTTTGTGCCTGGGTAACTTCTTTGGAAAGGGAAATGAAAATTCCAACATTCTCGGGAAAATTAGTTAACAGTCCATTCATGCCTTATAAAATGTCACTGGGCAAGAACTTCATTCAAAAACATCAGAAATCTTTGTGTGACCCTAGAGCTTAGATGTTACAGCTGATAAAATTTTATCTTTCTATTTTTGAAGCAGGATTCAGCATGGAACATTTGAATATTATGTACAAGATTAGATTGTCTTGTTTCCCATTCAAAGGCAAAATCAAAATAAGAAGTGAAGTGATTAGTGTAGAAACTTTGGTTACAACTGGAGACATGAGGGCAAAAATTACGGTTTGGAGATTGCAAAAGCCAGACCTCACAGCACATGATATCCCAGCATTTGGAAGTTTGAAGCTGGAGGATTTCAAGTTCCTGTACAATATGGGAGAATCTTTAGAAAACAAAGCAACAGGCTGGGAAGGTGGCTCAGTGGTAGAGTGCTTGTCTTGCATGCATGAGGCACTGGGTTCCTTCCATTCCTCAGCATCACAAAAGCAGAAAAAGCCAGAAGTGGCGCTGTGGCTCAAGTGGTAGAGTGCTAGCCTTGAGCTGAAGAGCTGAGGGACAGCGCCCAGGCCCAGAGTTCAGGCCCCGTGACTGACAAAAAAACCCAAAAAACAACAAAATTCACCTTATGGCTAATAGAGAAAGTACTCCTTTGTAGTCTAGAACAATGTTCTCCAAAATTTAAACATGTATGTGAGTCATTTGAGGATACTGATTTAGTACGTCTGGAATAGCTTGCATATGCCTGAAAAGCTTATATATTTGAAATGCTGCTAATGTTTTGAGTAACGTGGCCCTAGATGTTTGTATTGAAATGAGAGAAAGTACTCTTCTGAACCAACAGTTAAACTGTACATCCATCCATAACTAGAGGACATCCTTGGCTTATAGGTTAGTACAATGGTTACTTCATTAATGACTTTTAGTTTTCCTGTAAAGGATAAAACTAGGTTTGCTAATTTGTTTACTGAAGTGACCACACTTACTAGGTTTATATATTTTAATTTTTAATATGGTTACTATGTGAAAGAGGTGTCAGTTACCACTTTTATTTAATTGCATTTTAAAATTCAATGGTCTACAAAAACCAAAGTTGGTCAAAATCAGGGTCAATAGAAACGGTTTTAATAGACTATATGCTTCAAGTAGTATAGAGAGACTTTTGACATCATTTTTATGATTAAACATAGCACATTCTTTTTACAAAACCAATTGTAAGCATTGTGCCTACCTTTGGTTCTCAGTTCCACCCAGACCTGAGCTCCTCCCAGCCCTGGAGTCCCCAGCCTACAGCTGGTCCCTCCCTCCCTCCCTCCCAGCTCCCACCTACCTCACTTCCTGTCCCCAGACCCTCCTGCTACCTGGATAGGGACAGGTGGCATGTGCTCCCTCTTGGGGGAAATGTGGCTCCTCTAATAAACCTTGTAATAATCTTTCTCCGGTGCCTGCTTGCCTCCGCATGGTCCCCTGGGATGGATGTGAAGGATCCCTTCACAGATAAATGCAAAAAAGCATTAAGAAAAAGACTCATTGCCATCTCATTCATTAGATTCTATTAACATTCTTGTGTATTTTCAAATGGAAAAACTGTTTTTTCTATCTTACAACTACTGTAGCATCATGTCCCCTAACTCCCTTCACATTATGAGCACTAAGAGAAAAAATGTTTTGACTAATAGCATATTGTTCAATAATTGGACATTATGCAGCTTTCCAACCGATAGTTTACTATTGGATATTTAAATTACCTGTGTTTATTTGCTTTTATGTTGTTTTTATCTGCTTTTCAAATTCTTTAATGCCTTAAAACTCCTTTCTATTCACAAGTTCTGTAAATTTATGACCTTAAAGATGGAATCTGCAATTTGATCCTGCATCTTTGACTCTCAATTCATTAGGAAGTCCTCTGTGAATCCTAAAACACAAAATGGTAGAAACCTCAAAAATCCATTAACTCAGTCTTACCAGCAACTATGTTTTTTCTTTATTGCGGAAGACAGGAGGTGGGGGGTGGGGGGGGATGTCAGGAGACAGTCCTTGGGCTTGAACTCCAAAGCCTGGGTGCTGTCCCTAAGCTTTGTTACAAGTTTAGTGGTCTACTACTTGAGCCATAGCTCCACTTGACAACATTTTACTGGTTAATTGGAGATAAGAATGTCATGGACTTTCCTGCCCAGGCTGACTTTGAATCATGATCCTCCAATATCAACCTCCTAAATAGCTAGGATATAGGCATGAGCCACTTGCAACTACTGTTTTATCCTATCATGTTTTCATTAGGTTACTTCACAATACAAAAGAATGCTTTTATTTGACTTTTCTGAATTTAAAAGGAGCCTGTGAGATTAGCTTCTGATATGACAGAATTCAAATGTGTAATTGTAGATGTACAGTGCACCTTTTCATCATGAAATATCAATCTATGCCTAATATGTAGAACAGTAATTATATAGTGTTCATATTAAAAATTTATCAGTCTTGGTAATGACCTTAATAGCAATTTGTTGCAATTTGTATCTCAAATGTTCCCATAGGCTATGTGTTAAAGGCTTGGTCAACAACATTTGGCACCCAAAAAACAACGCAATTCACCATGGGCTGAAACCTGAAACCATACCAAAATAAACCTCAGGGATTAAAAAAGGTGATGTGCAGAGTCAGGTACGTGAGTACATTTCCTTTTGAAAGTGTCACCCTATCCCTCATTTCTTTCCCAGTTTTTCCTCTCCCAATTTTCCTCCCCTCACCCCCTGAAGTTGTATAGTTCATTTCCAACATAGTGTCTAGTGGGTTTCACTGCTGAATTGGTTCACCCTTTGTTCTACCATTTCTATGTGCTTCCCTTCCCCTTCCTAAATCAGATAAACTTATATAAAAGATAAAGGGTACATAAATAAAAAACAGCGACAGAAGGCAATAAACCAGAGGAAAAACAGAGAAGAAAAGAAAGAAGTGCAAATAGTATAACAAAAAAAAACATCATATTTCTTGGAGTTCACTTTGATAGGCATCATTTTATATGATCTTACACACAGCTATTGAGCCCTTGTGATCCTCTCCTAGGAATATCCTCCTTCTGAGGGGCATCTGGGTTGGTTCCATTCTTTAGCTATGGTAAATAATGATGCAATAAACATAGTTGTGCTGATAGCTTTAGTATGGCCTGTTTGTAATCCTTTGGGTAAATGCCCAAAAGTGGGATTGCTGGGTCATGGGGAAGCTCTATGTGGAGTCTTCTGAAGAACCTCCATACTTCTTTCCAGAGTGGTTAGACAAGTTTACACTCCCACCAACAATGCTGTAGGGTTCTCTTTTACCCACATCCCCTCCAGCATCTGTTGTTATTAGAGTTCTTGATTTTAGCCATTCTAACTGGGGTGAGGTGGAATCTCAATGTTGTTTTGATTTGCATTTCTTTTATGGCTAGAGAAGTTGAGCATGGATCAAGAAAATTTGATGTACACACTATATGTACACACATACAGATATAATGGAATTCTATGCCTCCATCAGAAAGAATGACATCCCCCTATTTGTTAGGAAATGAAAAAAATTGGAAAAAAATTATACTAAGTGAAGTAAAGCCAGGCCCAAAGAAACATAGGTCCCATGGTTTCCCTTATTTGCAATAACTAGTTTACATCTAGGATAATCTTACCAGAGAAGCAGAAAAGGTCACAAGCTATGTACATATGACTATATAAGATGATGCTAAGCAAAATGCACCCCAAGATATGGACACGAGGTTTTTTTTCTTTGTTGCTGTTGTGTTTAATGTACCATGTGATTGTTTTTTGTTTCTTTTGTATGTTCTTCCCCACTATGGTGTAACCCCTGTTTTCACTGTATTTGATTATGTTGCCATGCATCTTGTATGTACATTTTTCTAATTTGGGGAGGAGGGAAATAACAAAATGCTGAAACAAGGATACAGGTTGACTCATTCCAACAATGATTCACACAAGACACTATGTTGAAAATGAACTTTACAACTTGGGTGAGGGGAGTTGGGGGGTGGGGACGGAAGGAATAGTAGGGGAAAAACAAAAGGGGGGTAACAATGCTCGATAGGAAATGTACTCATTACCTTCAACCCCTCTGTACAGTATCTTCACAATAAAAATATTAAAAAAGAATATCCTCCTTTGTTTGCACTGTGTGAATGTTTAGATTGCTATTAATTAATTATGTCCAGGTGTAATTATTTGTCTTTTACTATCCATTGGATTTGCTTGTAGATTTAGAGGCACATTCTAGTTACTACAATTGAGGGAAACCATGCAGCCTATGTTTCTTTAGGTCTGCTGTACTCTGCTTAGTATAATTTTTTCCAAGTCTTTCCATTTCCTTACAAATCGGGCAATGTCATTTTTTCAGATGGAAGCATAGAATACCATTGTGTATATATACCATATGTTAAGACATCTCCAATCTAGGAATCCGTTGTGGTTCATTTAGTTATTTATTAGATATTAGATAGCTTCACTATTCTCTTTCATCTGAAACCGTTTTTCAATATTACTTTTTCAATTAATTTATTCAATAACCTCAGTTGTGATAATAGTTTACATAAATGTGGTCAGAATATCCCCCCCCCCTTTTCCTTTTAGTGTCTATTGCAGCTTTCATGATAAGCTTTCATTCTAGGTGCCATCTTACTTGTTTTCTATCTTTTTTAAATTAGGTCAGGCTAACAGGTAGAGTTTGCTGATTGCATTGATTTTTCCAAGCAAACAACTTTTCTGTAATTTTTTCTAATGTTTGTTTTCTGTTTCAGTAGTACATGTTTTCTTCATTTTCTGCTTACAAACCATTCTTTTTTTTTTTTAGATTTGCACTTTTTAAGTGCTACCCATTTCTTCAGATAAAGAAGACTCAAGTGACTGTTGGTTTTTTTTTTCCCCCTTTCATTTGCTTGTTAATTCACTATCATCTACAGCTATGTCAAGAACCTGTGTAAGCTGACTGTCGGGGGCTCACACCTGTAATCCTAGCTAGTCAGGGGGCTGAGATCTGAGGATCATGGTTCAAAGCCAGCCCGGGCGGGAGAGTCTGTGAGACTCTAATCTCCAATAAACCACTAGAAAACTGGAAGTGGCGGTGTGGCTCAAGAGGTACAACACTGACCTTGAGCTGAAGAGCGCAGGGACAGCACCCAAACCCAGAGTTCAAGCCCCATCACCAAAAAACAAAAAAACAAAAAACCTGTGAATTAGATGAGAAAAGAAAGGAAATCGCTTGATTTAAGTATCTTAAAATCCTGAGTGAAGGATAAAGCCCTAGAAGAAGTTGGTTTCCATGACCACATTTATAGTTCCCAGCTGCTGTGGCCTCTGCCAACTGTAAAATCCATTACAAATCATAGCCCTTTCCTGTAGTTGCCTTGACTGCTTTATTTGTAGGTCAGATGTGCCAAAATGGTGCCAATAGAAGTAAAGATCCACAAATACACACCCTGGATGGTAAAAGACAAAAAATACATTGGAACATGTATTATTCAGAGACATTATACAGGTCTCTAGATATTCACATAGTGAGACCAAAGGAGGCTATTCTTAGGAAAGGATCACAAAGGCTCAATAGTTATGTGCATATGATCATTTAAAATAATACTTAGTGAAATGAACTCCAAGAAATGGAAACAGAGGGTTTTTTTCCTTTGTTGCTGTTTTTGATTTTTGTATCTTTTGTCTTGTTTCTAAGTTTATGTGTTTTGGTAAGGGTAAGGAGAGTGGACACAGAAAGGAAGGGACGAAGGGTGAACAAAGGCAGCAGTAATACTAGACTCTATGTTGAAAAATAACTATACAACTTATGGGTGGAGATAGGAGTGACCACTGGGAGAGAACAAGAAATGTTCAAAAGAAATGTACTCATTATCTGACTTATATAACTGTAACCTCTCTACATCACCTTTACAATAACAATACCATAAATTTATTTTTTAAAGTAATGAGTAAATGAGTAAATATAAATGTAAAATGAGTAAATGTGGGCAAATTCTAAAGACTACCTGTAAGAGGAAGGCATTTGAAGAACACAAAATGAAAAGAATAAAAAACAGGAGGAGGCTGAATTTACTGAAAGTTAATAGTTAATAGTGGAGCAAGGAGTGGGTGGTAACAGTGGTGGTGACACTGGTGCTGTGGTATTATTAAACTATAAAAGACCTGAGCTCTGGTCTTAAGTAAGGACAATCTTTTGCTGGAAAGAAAGCTCAAGAGGACAAGGATATTTTTCTGTAATGATTAAAACAGGTTTAAATCTGGTTGTTTAGTTTTTGTGACTTAGCAGTTTACCAAGACAGTCTTTCTGCTAATAATCAACTAGACCTCTAATTCAAACAGCTGTGGAATACCCAAAGGTGTTCAGGTAAGAGGAGCTTTTCAGGCAGATTTATTATTAGAATGAATGTTAATAGCAACTTACTAATGATGATAGTACCAATCTCTAATTATGTGTTTTGAGGAGAAAGAGTACCAGAAATCACTTTATTCTATCCTTACTAACCCATTAATGTGTCTCCCTCTTTCTAATAATATTTTGTAAAATACTGGAAAAATCTATCTGGAAATTGGGGTCTTGTTTATATTTTGCTTGTAGGTTTAGAAATAATTTGTTTAAAGTACAATTAGTGACCTACTAGGATTAAATTCTATAAAATATTTCCTAAAGCTGGACTATTATTATTAGACCTATTTATGCAACTCAGGAATGTTTTCTGATAGCAACCATCATTTTGATAGAAAACACCAAAACAAATGCAAATGGACTAAAATTAATGACTTTCCAATTCATTTCTTTCTGTTTGGCTGATTATGTGATGTTTAATGAGATTAATGTATAGAAGGAATTCTACACCCTGAGCTATTTTAGAACCTAATCTTTTAGTCACCTAATCTTCTAGTGGTTATCATATGTAGACCCCTGATAAATTCTGTTAAACTACTAATCACTTTGACTAAGAATTGGAGATATGCATTGTGTTTCTGACTCTTCTGTATAACTCTATGTAACCCTAAGTATTCAATTTCTTGACTATTGTAAAAAGTAAAATAAGGTACTTTTGAGCTAAAAAAATCACTTGTTTTAGGCCTCTTAGGAAACAGAAGCAATGTCTTATCCACTGATTTCCTTTTTATAATTTAATTTTATCATAAAAGTGATGTACAAAGAGGTTGCAGCTCTCATAATTGAATTCTGACTAGTTTATATAAAATTTATGACTGAAAAACTAATATTTACCTCCAAGAAAGAACATACCCCTATTCTGCCAAAATATTGGAATTGGGGGCTGTGTCATTCTGATTGGAGCTTGAACTGCATTGCCCCTTCATTGTAACTTTATTTGATTGAGTTGCTTCTGGCTTTCATTTTTATTTACTTATTTGGTTGGGAGATTGGACCTTTCTTATCAGAAGATCCTGATATAAATGCACTTCTGGGGGGAGATCTTTGTTTTATGACCATGTTTCTAGTCTTTCCAATTATCTACCAAGAAGCCACAAATGGAGTTACAGCTCAGGTGCTAGAACGCTAGTAACTATGAACAAAAAAGTTCAGGGACAGTGCTCTGGCTCTTGAGTTCAAGCCCCAGGACTGGCAATAAATAAATAAATAAATAATCAACTTAATCTCTCAGATGTCTTGTATTACAAGATTGATATTGTAGCAGAATATTTTGTAACAGAATATTTTCTAAAAGTTTAAAACAGTTCTAAGAGGTGTAATTGCCATCCTATTTCACTATTCATTCACTTCATCAGTATTTTCTTTCATTCATCATTTTTCCTTTCTCTTTGGGGGCTTTGTTGAAGATATTTCTGAAGAATCACCCAAGAAGCCACACTGCCAAAATGGTTCAAATCATAGCGACACCTCTCAGTGCACTTGCTGATGAGCCAGTGCGGATCCGCGTTACAGGCCTGATCCCTTTTCAGACGGTGTGTTTTCAGGCATCGGTGAAAGATGAGAAGGATGACGTGTTTCGTTCTCAGGCCTTCTTTAGGGCCAACGAAGCGGGTGAAGTAGACTTGGAGCGTGATCCTTCCCTTGGAGGTGACTACACGGGCATCCACCCCATGGGTCTTTTCTGGTCCTTGAAACCTGAAAATCCTTTAAGTCGACTGCTGAAAAAAGATGTGATGAATAGTCCCTTCCAGATCCAATTGAAACTTTCTGAACTACAACCGCCATTAAAAAATGCTCACAGTGTTCCGAAAGCCAGCCTGACTTTGGAAAGGTGGTATGTCGCGCCCGGGGTCACACGGATCTTGATAAAGGAAGGTCGTCTTCGGGGGGCCCTCTTTGTCCCTCCAGGTGAGAAGAATGTTTCTAGTTGTTGTTATCCATATCTTTTTCCTCTTTCAAATGCCTTATTCCAATAGGAATTGAGCTGAACTGATTTCCTGCCTTCAAAATTAGGGATCAAAACAGGAGTGTGGTAATAATTGCACTAAAAACCTAAGTTTCATCACAGTAGTTCTGGAGTTTGTCTAAGGATATGATAATTTTTTTTGGGGGGGGGGTCCGGTTGTGGGGCTGGGCCTGTGCGCTGTCCCTCAGCTCTTCAGCTCAAGGTTAGCGCTCTACTACTTGAGCCAAAGAGCCACTTCTGGCTTTTTCCTTTTTGCTTATGTGGTACTGAGGAATCGAACTCAGGGCCTCAGGCTTGCAAGGCAAATGCTCTACCACTGAGCCACCTTCCCAGCCCAGGAAAGTAATTTTTTATTCTCAATTCACCTTTAGCCAAATCACTACGTTTCAATGAATGTCATTAAAAATACTCTTATACGAATAGAATACTCATGTAAGTGCACTGTGAATTTCTTTCAGGGTGTGGGAATTACTTTATTTTGAAAAAAGATAAGCTGCCTAAAAGAGAGAAAGTAGAGGAAGTAGAATTGTGGCTCAAGTGGTAAAGTGATAGCCTTGAGCAAAAAGCTAAGAGATGGCACCCAAGTCCTGAGTTCAAGTACCAGTGCACTCTCTCTCTCCTTCACTCTCTCTCCCTCTCTCCTTACCCAAGTGTAAGTAGAATGATACTCTGATCATCCTTTCTTTCATTAACCATTGGTGTGTTTTAGGCTGTATTAGGTTGAAGGGAATAGAGAATACTCTCTATTATTGAATGAATGAGTCATTATTTACATCTGCTTGGGTGGAAGACCCCATCACTGGTTACTCAGATAAATATAATAGAATGTTCCATCTGGGTTTGAGCCAATGTAATTGCTTCAATTTTTTTTGAGCCATATACTTCTTTGAAAAATTAAATCTGTGATTTCCTCCTGTTTGACAGTCGGTTTCTATTACTGTAACAAATACTTGAGGTAAACATAGTTAAAGAAAAAAGTTTAGATCACAATTGTAGAGGCTTCGGTGCACAATTGGTTGGCCTCATTGCTTTGAGCAAAGCGGCACCTCATGGTAGGCATGTGTGGTAGGGAACAACTGCTTGCCTCATGGTTAAGAAGCAAAAGACAGGAGTAAGAAGATGGGGTCCCACCACCTCCTGCAAAGTATCCTCTCAATGACCTGAAGACCACCCATTAGAATTCAAGTCTTAAAGGTCCCACCACATGCCAGTACTGCCACCCTGGGACACACGACATGACTTTGGGGGACATTTCAGATGCTAGAGCATCTCCCATCAATAAAATACACATATGAATGGACATACCACATCTAGTATCTCATTTTAGGACTTTGGTAGGTTTCTTGAAATTTATTTGTACATATATTAGAAGTTTAAAAGCTTGCTGGGCACCAGTGGCTCACACCTGTAATCCTAGCTACCAAGGAAGCTGAGGTCTGAGGATCACGGCTCAAAGCCAGCCCAGCAGTAAAGCCCTTGAGACTCTTATCTCCAATTAACCACCAGAAAACCAGAAGTGGTGATGTGGCTCAAGTGGTAGAGTGCTCACCTTCAACTGTAGAGCTGAGGGACCGTACCCAGGCCCAAAGTTCAAGCCCCATGACTGACAAAAATAAAAAACAAAACAAAACAAAAACTTTAGCACAACTTTTATGGCTTTGTTTATAGCAAAACTATAGAAATAAGCCCCATTTTCCTTGGCTTCAGAGATTAAACAGGTCTAGGGATATGATTCGTAAGAAAATGTCTAGAGACAAGCAGAAAAGATCAAAAGCTATGTACACATGACCATATAAAACGATGCCAAGGGAAATGAACCAAAAGATAGGGACACAAAAAGTTTTACTTTTGTTGCTGTTGTTCTTAATGTACTGTGTGATTTTTTTTGGTTTCTTTTATATGTTCTTCCCCCATGGTATAACCCCTGTTTTCACTGTATTTGATTCCGGTGCCTGCATCTTATATATAGATTTTCTAATTTGAGAGGGGAAGGAAAATGACAAAATGCTGAACCAAGATTCCAGGTTGACCCATTGTAGCAATGAGATGTACAAGATACTATGTTGAAAACAAACTTTACAGCTTCAGAGGGAGGAGGGAGACATATATATACTCATTTCAAAATTTGGATGCATTTCTTCTTTGTGGTTTCATATTTTATTAATAACTGTACTGTGTGTTTTGTTTGTTTGTTTGTTTTTTAATTTTCAGGAGAGGGCAAGTTCCCAGGGGTCATTGATTTGTTTGGTGGTATTGGAGGCCTGATTGAATTCAGGGCCAGTCTCCTGGCCAGTCATGGCTTTGTTACCTTGGCCTTGGCCTACCATAGCTATGAAGACCTGCCCTTTGTACTTGAAAAGGTAGATCTGGAGTATTTTGAGGAAGCTGCCAACTTACTACTGAGACATCCAAAGGTAATTTTTTCATTCTTTAGTAGATGTTAGTCCCAATGTTGTTTGTATTTTTCATTTTTATTATCTTTAAATTAGTTGTACAAAGGTGTTTCAATTCTGCAGGTCAATTTATGTATACAATGCATCTTGGTTAGTGTCATCTCCTCCATTATCCCTCCCTCGTCTATCCCAGCTCAGGCTGTCCCCTTAAGTTCTCTAGTTCCGTTTTCATATGGGTACATATGCATTCACATCTGTATCCCTCCCTTGATTCCTCTCTCCATTCTTCTACCCTTCTTGAAAGTCCCACTCCCCTTAGACAAGACAGGTTTCAGCTACTTAGTCTTTATTTTGTTGAGCTGTCTGTTAATTGTTCAAAGAGATTACACCATGGAAACCCACCTTTGCACTTACTGGGTTAGCGGGCTTGTCTGTGTGCATTCTTATGTCAGAGAATTTATAATCCTCTGATTATCTAAGCTTTCCTTTCTTCCCTCATCTCTCCATCTGGCAGAGAGCTCCTCGATGATAAGATATTGTGCCTTTCTAGTGCTTATTTGATGACTAACAATAAAAAGAAAGCTGAACTAAGCCCCCTTTCGAAATCTTTTGGAAAGCAAGCAAGCCAACGACTTTATTCAAGTTTCATATTCTGTCATTAATTTCTACTTCTTCTCTCGCTGTAAGGTGCCCACTCCTCCGAATCTCAAGAGACTCGGATTTTGTGCAACCAAGTTTACCCATTGGTTAGCCCCCTGACCATTGTTCACAATATTATTTTTTTTCTCCTCTATATCGTTATTTCTTGAAAGCACCTTGAACTCATAATAAAACACAATGTCGAATCCATAATATATAGGCAGTAAAATGTGACAGTAACTATAATATTTCTTTGTAAATTCATAGAATTCAATATTCAATAATACAGAGTTCTGTATTCCAGAACTCTAGAAATGGTTTATATAAATATATGGATGAGGATTTTTTTGCTTACTTTGTTCTCATTTCTCACCCAACTTCTTGATTGAGATAGTACATTTCCTAACTGAAGGAAAGAATCCATTTTGTTTCCATTTTATTTTCAGGTCTTGGGCCCAGGCATTGGGATAATCTCTATATGCAGAGGAGCAGAGATTGGACTCTCTTTGGCTATTCACCTAAAACAGGTCACAGCCACTGTGCTCATTAATGGTCCTAACTTCATTATTGATGTTCCACATATATACCGTGACAAGATCATAAAGCCCACCCCTTTCTCTTTACACCTGCAATCCAATGATGTCTTTGGATTTGCAGAGTTTTATCAAGTTTATGCTGAAACTGGATGTAAGGATAGCCGTTATTTTCTTCCTATTGAAAAGGCTCAGGGACATTTTCTCTTCATTGTGGGAGAAGACGATAAGAATATCAACAGCAAATTACATGCTGAACAAGCCAAGGAACAGCTGAGGAGACATGGGAAGAACAACTGGACCTTGCTATCTTACCCTGGGGCAGGTCACCTGATAGAACCTCCCTATACTCCACTGTGCCGTGCCTCAAAGCTCAACTCCTTGACCACAGCCATCCACTGGGGAGGAGAGGTTATCCCACATGCAGCTGCACAGGAACATTCTTGGCAGGAGATTCAGAAATTTCTCAGGAAGCACCTTGTGCCAGTAAGGACCAGTCAACTCTGAAAAGACTAGATATGCCTTAGAAACAGAGAAGTAAATTTCTTTATTAGCACCTTGTCTCAGTGTTTATGGAGGAACAGCTTTGATCTCTTCTTGTAATAAAGAAGTTAAAATGAGAAAAGGGCAGAAGGACTGAGAAAGGGGGAAAATGATTTCCACTTAACCAAATAGACATTGGGAGTCCTACATTTGAAGAAGTAAACGTACCTGCCCTAAATATTGTCAGCAGAGCAATTCTCAGCCATAGCAATTACCAAGAGAATAAAGATAATCGATGATCAGTCACAGAAATCTTAGGCTTATAAAAACAAACTGAAAACAATTAGATGCCATTTGTTTCCTAAAATTCAAATTGATCACATTTCAAAATATTTTTGAAATTGCTTCATGAAAATAACATGCATATTTTCATAGTTGCTTTATTATTATTAGAAACTCAAGCTGGGTATTTTAAGGCAATTTGTAAACACGCCCATAAGATCATTGAATCATTTATGATCAATAATTTAATGAAAGCTAACAAAATTATGTTTGTGCTTCAAAATGTACAACAGTTTGTATCCTCAATGATTTGAAGGGGAAATCAAGACCCATAAAATTGTATCTCAGGGAAGTAGTCATAATATTAGGAACTAGTTACCTTTCTGAATTAGGAGCTAGTATATTTTTTTCTGTAAACTACCAGAGAATGAATATTTTAAGCTTTGTGGGCCAGAGGTCTAGACTACTATGTCTTACTTTGATACTTTAACACAAAATCAGCAAAGATAATGTGTAATGAATGATAGTGTCTGTGTTACAATTAAACATTTATTAAAGGATATTAAAGTTTCCCTGTCATAAATTTCATTCACCCCAAAAGCAATTTTTAAGATTTTCTTTCAAGCATTTTACAAATGTAAAAGACTATCCTTAACCTACTGACAATATAAAAATATTCTCTGGGTTCATGGAACCTAATGAATTCAATGACTCTGAGTATAGACAGAGCAAAAGGTCATATATGTGGTTCAAATATTCCTGAGTTATTGAGTTACAATGAAAGTGAAAGGTAATAATCAAGGAGAGAAGAATCAGTAGAAACAATTTTGAATCATTTTGGAGGTATGATGGGTGAGCTAGTAAAGAATCTGAAGAGCAGAAAGCACAGGATGATCCTTTTCTGCTGTGTCTGCCTAAACTTACTTCCTTCTATTTGCTTTCTAATACTATTTCAATTAAAATAATTCTGTTTATTCAGGGTGGCACAATTACCTTTTCTCCTCTCTTATTCGGAGAAGTGGTTACATTTCACACCCATGGTCAATCAGAATACCTCACTTCGACTCTTCTAACCAGTAAAGTTGGCCTGATATATATGCCTCAATTTATATTTTATGGACTCTTCTCAAAACTAAGACCATTTGGGATTTTTTTGTGTGCTTTTTTTTTTTGGACATCACCAGAATGTATGAATTCAACAGTCTCTTGAATAACAAAGGTTTGTACCCTTAGTAGTATGTGTATATTTTTCTCGTCTTTAACTGTTTTTTTTCCCTCAGATTTGTAATCATGTTAGTCACTTTTTTTGTCAGTGGGACAAAATACAGAAGAAAAATGATTTAAAAGAGAAAGGAATTTTTTTAGCTGTTGCAGAGCGTTCAACTCGTGGTCATGTGACTTCATTACTGCTGAGCCTCTGTGTGGTTCAGGGAATGTGTTGGGGAGCAACGTGGCTCACCTCATGGTAGGCAGTGGGAAGAGAGAAAGACACACAAAATTGCCAAGGACAAGATATACCTTCAAAGATTTGTCCCCAGTGACCTACTTTCTCCAATTAGGTCCCATTTCCTAATAGTCCATTCAGTTAGTGACCTCATGACCATACCAGTTCCCAGTTGTGCTATTATCTGAGCTCCAAAGTGCAAAACATGAACCTTTTAGGGAGACACTTCTTGTCTAAACCACAACAATAATCCTGGAGGTATTCAGGGTTGGTGTAATATTTGTAAGTTTCACTTGGCAGTTGAATATTTTGCATACCAAATATTTATATTAGTCTTAAATCTGTATATGTGTATACATGTGTGTGTGTGGATGGGTATGTGTGTGTGTGTGAGAGAGAGAGAGATACAGACAGACAGACAAGAGAGGAAGAGAAAGAAAAAGAGAGAGAACTGGGGCTTGAAGTTAGGGCCAAAAGTTCTTGCTTACTCATGGTTGTCACTCTATCACTTGAGCCATGTGTCCAGTTCGAGATTGGTTTGTCTGTATGTTGAGATAAATAGCTATGAATTGTGATGCTGATGTTTTATGTAAGCATATTGGTGTTGACACCACTTTAAGAGAATTAAAACCATAGTGTTATTGATAGCAATTGATATGATGAAATTATCCCGGAGTGATAAATTCTCATTTAAAAACTCTCAGTTTTTAATCTTAAAATGTAAATTGCTTACTTGAAACTTTGCTAGCTGTGACCACATACCTGAGAGAAACAACTTAAAAGACAAGAGATTTATTTGGCCCACCGTTTGAAAGGTTTCAGTCCATGGTTGGCTGGTACCACTGCTGTGAGGAGGCCCAACCTACCATGAGTCAAAGCATCATGGTGGTAGGAACATGTGACAGAGAATATTGCTTACTTCACAGTGAAGGAAGGAGAGAGAGAGAGGGACAGAGACAGGAAGACAGAGAGAAGAGAGGAAAGAGAGATAGGAGAGAGCAAGAGATCTAAGAGATCTGTAAGATAGCTGTAGAGACATGAGGCAGGGACAAATTTTATATATATATATATATATATATATATATATATATATATATTAGGGCCATGCTCCCTTTTCACCCAACTAGATCCACCTCCTAATTTCTACTACTTTCCAATAATGCCATCAAATTATGATTCCATCAGGGATGGATCCATTGATTAGGTCTCAAAAGTCCATCAACTGGCAACCAATCTTCCAATGTGTCAAGATGTCAAGGGACATCTCAGATTCCAATTGGAACAGTGGCCTTCCACAAGGACACCTCAACAGTCTTATAACTATTGAGTATTTTGATTATTAAGGACTTTTAGTGAAAGCCAAATATATGTGTTTTTGTCTTAAGGTATATTTCAGGTAAGATTATTAAATATTTAATGAGTCTTTTCCCACAGGTTTATTTTACATAGTCATGATATTATATGTAAATCGTCATTTTCATCCTTGCTCTGGGTCTTGTAGGGGACAGGCTCATACATGAAATTTAGCCATTGCTATAATTTTAATGTTGATGTCTCTCTAAACTTCATATGTTGAAATCTATCCTCTCCCCCTGCCTACCTAAAGATAATGGTTAAGAGAAGGGGCCTTTTGGTAAATGATGAACTCCTAAGTTTTCTGCTGTTATGATGATGGGATTTGTGCCCTGATACGAAGGTTAAAGGAACCTGTCTTGCTCCTTCTATCATGGGAAGATGTAGAAACAAGGTGCCATCTATGGAACAAAGAATGGCTCTACTAGCCATTGAATCTGCTAGCACTTTTGGATTTTCTAGTCTCCAGAACTACTGCTATGAGATATGAGGCATTTATTATAGCAGAAGAACAGACTTATACAGAAAATTATATGAAGTGGGATGTTATTAGAACAAATACTAAAATGTGAAAATTGGCTTTAGAACTCAGTAAATGAATAAAGGCCAGTAGAGTTTGGAGGTACGTTGCTTTGAGAAAATTCAGAAAAGAGTAGAGCTGTAATGTTTCAATCTCTTAGGAAATTACTTAAGTGTTAACCATCAGAATATAGATAGAAGCGTGGAAGGTGCAGGTCACTGTGATGAAGTGTAGCAGTATGATGTATGTTACAGGACACAGGGCCAGCTCACAATAGACACCAAATCTGAAGACCACTCCAAAGGGTAAGAAATAATTATTACTTAGAAATTACGCATTCTAAGGTATTTTGTTACTGCAACCCCAAAAGTATACTCACTTTCTTTTTTTTTTTTTTTTTTGTCTGTCGTGGGGCTTGAACTCTGGGCCTGGGCGCTGTCTTTCAGCTCTTCAGCTCAAGGCGAGCGCTCTACCACTTGAGCTACAGCGCCACTTCCGGTTTTCTGGTGGTTTATTGGAGATAGGAGTCTCACGGTCTCT